TCCTTTTAAATTACTTTATTATTAAGAAGTAATCGTACATGGCGAGTTCTGTTAAAAATAGAATCAGCTGATAATATATTGGCATCAGATCGGGATGAGATACGTCAGCAGAGTGGTCCTAGTTCCAAAGACAAAATAATATCGAATCAACTAAGATACATTCACAAATACATACGAAAAAGTGGAATCAAGAGAGAACTATGTGGAAGCCGCCCTCACCCCTAATATAAGAATAAATAATAAAATACATATAACAGGAATAACTAAGGACACCACTCGTTAATGAATATTAGATCTTTTTGGGCGAATAATACATTAAAGCGTATGCAGATTGTAAGTGCGAGAAGAATTTAAGCAAGAAGTGATATGAAATAGCAGCGGAGAAAACTATACGCTCACTAACTGAGAAAATTCCTTGTCCTAAAAGGACATTTCATAAATTACGAGTATGTAATCATCATTGTCCCTATCTTTGCGGCTGAAAACTTAGTCATGGCTAATGAGGACGCGGACTCGGGTAACACAGAATTTTCTTTATCTATGATACATTTTATTCACACAATGCGATTATATTCATTGTTTAATTGCATAAACTCAAATCGGACGCGTTTCCATTAGCCAACATATCATGATCGACCAATATAGAGCTACTGAAATATCAAGCAATGGCTTGTCAACAGTTTCGTCAGATAAGTCATAACTCCTTTGGTACCTTTTAGCTATAACTAGTTGAATTAAGAAAAAAAAGGATTCCTAAATTAAAATTACCTACATAGAGCAGTTTTCCCTAATTTTCCAGACAATAATTATAACAAACTTCTTTAATATTATTCCAATAGCCTGGCTATATACATATATTAAAGAATAGCATTTTGTTTATATTATTAAAAAAAATATTTAAAAACAAATCAAAGTTATTTCAATATTGCAATGTTAGTTTAAGTCAAGTTATTAAGCGACCTAGTTTCCATCGAGCAGTTTAATTGCTCCTCGCTGAGTGGTACTATCACGCGGCCTACATATAATTGCTTAACTTGATACTGATTATTTTAAGACTAGAGCAAAGGGTTTTATAATCAATTCAGTTGTTTTCCTGTTGACAACGTTTAAAAGTGCCTTATCATTGATAATAATTCTTTTTAATCAGTCTATTTGTAGACATATACTGTCTATCATTGTTATAACGTTATTAATCATTGACAATGTTTTCACCTGATATAAGCAATTTTTTATTTCCTAAAGTTATTACACGAAGTATTTTAAAATATCACTTTTGGACGATCATTAGCTACTTTTATATTCTGATAATGATAAAGTAATAATGATATCTCAATGGCGTTTCGATTAATTGCATATGCGACTCTATTATCCAACTGGGGCAAATTATGACCGATGAAAAGTAATTTAAAAAGAAACAGTAGTCAGCATTGTAATCTATACTATATAGTTGTTTTTCCCACGCATTAATCTCGTAAAAATTAGAATGTATATCACCTGCGTATGATGCATTGCCGTAAGTGAATGAATTTTTAAAATCAGCCCCGTAATTTTTCAGAGCCTTATTGAATTAAATTATTTAATACAAAAATTATATGATAAAAACTATTGATAAAAATTACGAGGGATAAAGCGTTGGTACGGGAAGTATTGGATTCGTTTCCTGTTGCATTCAATTTCTTCTACCTTTATTTAAAATGTCTATATTATCTACATATAAAATGTTAATGTTCAAATTTATGTCAAAATTAATAATCTAATCAAAAAGTTTATTTCAATTAAAATGCCCATAATATTTGGTCAACTAATTTATTATTAACTAGCTTCCCGCGACTTCGTCGGCATAAATCACAGTCTATGTCACCCGCTTATGATCGAGCTTCTAGCAAGTGATAGATTTTTTAGAATCAGTCCAGTAGTTTCAATTCAATGTTAACAAACAATAAAATCTTTCCTGATTATTATATAAGTAGAGACAATTTCTCTAGTTCCCATATTAATCTTGACGACCCAGATATGTAGACGCAGAAGACTGTGCGTCGTCATGCTCTGACGCATTTTCATACACTGTAACGTACACAATTGCATATACAAACGATCAGTGTCGTTGGCATATTAATTGTAAAGGGTCTTTAGGTCCATTGAGTCCATTACGCGAGCAAATCCCATATTTATTACCATTCTACTGGCGCATAACAAATATTCAAGATCCAATATGCTCTCAGAGAATTAATGAAAGTTTCATGTTTTCAAGTCTTGTGGTGTCCAGTCGTGTATGATCGGTCATGGGTAGATTTTATTTCGATTGAGATTTCTATCTAAACAATAGAAAGGCACAAAATACCAAGAGTGCGCCTATAATTTCCTTTATTTCTCTAAGCGTCCTCTAAGCGAAATGACTGTCCTTTTTTAGCCCAGCAATGAAATATATAAGGACAGAGGGTGGCAAAGTCTTCACAATTTATTGTAATTAATGACTCTCAAATTATTAAGATTATTGAGAGTAGATTAGAAAAGAGGGGGACACTTAACTCTAACACAAATTAGATCTTTAAGTCACAAATGGTTTATTAAATCAAAAAATGGCCTTCCCAATGTTTTTGAAAGACATATCCAATGATTGATGACATTATAGGGAAGACAAAATATAAATAAATATATCATCTCCTATATTTAGATTTAGAGGAGGTACCCTAAAAATGATTTTCGAAATTTTACGTTACCACTTTGTCGGCGTAATTAACGTCTATATTCATGCATCGTGAAACTATAAGGGTTTCTTGTAACTGTATAAAAGAGGATACTAAATAAGTCAAACTTTCACAAATTATTTTAAACTGTACTCTCAATGTTTTAAAGTTATAATATAAATCAAGTAGAGAAATGTGATGGTTATGTATAAACTTTTATAACCAGACGTGCTGTTGATTGTACATCCAAGTGATACTAGGAAGAGAGCAAATTCGTGGTAGAGGCCGCGAACGCTGGAGGTTACGGTGAAGGTTGCGTGCGCGCACAATACCCATGATCATGGTCGCCATCTTTGATAAACCATTGTGCCCACGTTGGTACAGTACTCCTGCATGCGTTTAATATAAATGGTTTGTAACGACAACTAAGTACCAAAATCGTGACTTTACAGGACCGAGAGGGAAAAGAACTTGCCCACATGAATTTAGAATACTTCCCTCCTAATAACTAAAATTGTTGACGGCCTGGAACCGATTGACCCACGTAACGCCAAGAAGTTTAATTCAAATTAATATATAATAATTATTTAAAAAATTATAAATCTGGAGATTATCATGTTTGTTGTGATAACTTACTCGTCATTTTTATTTCAATGCAGTTCGTAACGTATTTACGTATAAATTTAAAAGTGTGCTAAAACTCCATCCACTGCATACGGAAACAGTGTTTGTACCAATAAAATTTCGTTTTTTTAAATGCAATTATTTCCATGCAAGTGTTTCCTACTAAAATGACCAAAATGCTCATTTGGTCCTTATACCTAACTATATGGGATTGATCGACACTGTATTGTAATCGCAATCCATACTCAAATGATAAATGGTAAAGTGTATTTGTTAATTTGTCCTTTCCGCGTGCATTAAAATGGAGTTTTGTTATAAAAGGTATATTATAATTTGCGAGAACCACGGTAATTTCATAAGTTAATCCATTTAAAAACGTTTAAAAATTCAATTGCAATATAAAGATTGCAAACTTCGTGTTTATAAACAACTTGGGTATTCATATTGAATTTTCTCGAGTTAAACGTTATACCAGTGCTATTTTCAGCGAATGTAAATCACACAGATGCGAATTTAGCAGTCATAAGTTTAACACATCCAATCAATGAACAAAATTGAAACCTTAAAGCAAGCGCGGTACATTAAGCCGCCACACACAGCTAATAGGAAAACGTTCCTGATCAGGTTACTCAGAGCTCACTCGGCGTTGATGCATAATACCTCTGCGACTCATATCCTTCGGCCGATAAGTCTACATAGTACAGAACATTCGATTGGCGAACCGACTAATGTCGCAACGATTACGCAGCGCCATCAGGAGAGCGCGGCCCTGCGTTCACAAGATGTTTCAACTGCCGCACTCATGTACACTCGCACCTCATTACCATAACGCGTTAAACTGACTGGCCGGCTATTACCTTTAAGTGGACTGCCGTAAAGTGTAAATATAGTGGACCAATTAACCAGCCCGGACCACCGCATTTGAGGTTATTGGTAAAGCTGTCCGCGGCGCCTATTAAAAACGTAATCTCGTTTTAAACGAGTTAACCGCTTTCGGTTAGAAGAATATATAAATTTGCGTTCGGTTTCTCTGTCGATAAACAATGTATAATGGTTTCGGTGAGAACGTTTCCTGATACACTGAATGCGTCAAACCTGTTATGCTTTTTTTTTTCTTTGGCGGTTTCGCGACGGCCCGTAAATAAGGCGGCGTTTGCGCAGATAACGAGACGTAACGTGGGACGCCCGGGGCGTCTGATTCATGCCTTTTGTAATAAAGTTATTATGCTGTATCGTTTCGAGGCCGGCTTTTAATCAACGCTCGCCGATGCGGCTGTATAAGGTTGAATTCATCAATTAAACATAAGATTCTACAGTTTCTAAGTGGATGATGTGAATGCACTACGCTGACATGTGTGCGTTGCTAGTGCACCGCACACGAATGCACGTCCTGCATAGTAATTACGTTCCGACGAGCTAGACTGCTCGGCTGCCACCCAACGCGAAACCATGTATGCCTCCGCCTGCTTCATTATATGTATTTTATACGTCACATCAATATACTTACCTTCATTATATTGAAATTTAATCCAATCATACGCTTCGTTCACTGTGGAAAGCTTGATAATGTTTCAGAATGAATGCCAGTATGATGTGAACCGTCATATTGCCGGTCACATTTCAATAGGATCTCTTATATATCGCAATCGTTTATTCGCAAATATACATATTTTATTATGTCTACTAAAAGTCTATGGAGAGCTTAGGCTTGTAACCAGTCCAGCTTGGCCTTCCTTTCTCTATAGATAGACGGTGATTTGTGTGCGTGCAGGTCTTTAATCGTTGGTCGAGTGCAACAGACTGAACGGCACCTCGAGACTCAAATGTGTCGATACATTCACTGCATAAACCTGCTCCACAACTTTTAATATACCAAGCCATACAAAATAGGTATTAATCGAATGCAATAAAAATGATAACCTCTATCTAAGCATTTAACTCTAGCTAGTAAATATCTAAAAGCTACGCCGTTGGTTTACGAATCGACTAAAATAGAGATAGAAATAGAATTGACAACAAAGTTTTGAGACTGAAAACATAAATCTGAAAAATAAAAATAGTTTCAACAATGTTCTCTAGTCTTAATTTCAAATGTTATATTTTGGCTTAGTGTTTATGTTACCTATTAACATTTTTAAAAATTAGTTCTGATGATTTACAACTTATTAAAATAACTTGTCCTCAGATGCATCTAAGTTCAGTGCAAGTGGTGTGCGCGGCTCTGGTGACGCTGGCCCTGGGCGCGGTGGCCGCACCCCCGGCGGCGGCGCCCCATCACGTCGCGCGCCGTTCCTTCTTCACGTTACAGTGCAAAGGAGTCTACGACGCGGCCATATTCGCCCGCCTCGACAGAATTTGTGACGATTGCTATAACCTATTCAGGGAACCGCAGCTCTACACTCTTTGCAGGTGTGTTGATGTTGTCGAATAATAATAATAACGCCATCTATTGGTAGAAATAATAAACAGTATGCACTATAAAGTGCGTTTCTCTTAGAAGCGAACCTTCAGCTCGCACGTATTCAATATCTCTCAAATTAACTTACATTATGTAAATAACGAGTATGTATCGGTGCTTCGAAGGAATGAACAATCTGTTGAAATTTAGCCAATGTTACCTATCCGAAAATATAAAATAACACTATTGATTGTTGGGGCAGGCAAGACTGCTTCACTACAGATTACTTCAAGGGGTGCGTCGAGGTGCTACAAGAGACCGACCAACTTGAACTCTTCAAGACCTATATAAAACAGATACACGGGGCCGATCCGGGGATTTAGGTACCACTCGGTTTTTAAGTTTTCTCTTCTTCTGATGCACCTGCATCCTTTTCTACCTTCGTCACTAAACCATTTTGCTTTTACGATTTGCCAATATTAAGCGAATGAACTGCTTTACCTACTTTTATTATCTTTGGGGAAATAACTGGATTGTATAACCTCTATACAAAAATAATCACTAAATCAAATGCCGCAATGCACGATCTGCACTAAGCTTTCTTGGTATTGCATGAAACTAACAATTTGTAGATCATATTAATATTAGCATATTTTAAGTTTTGAATAATTTTCAAAAATGTTTAATCCACAGTATCTAGTTCTCTTTGTTATATTAAGTTCGACAAAATTCATTAAACATTATTTAAATAATCTCGTAAATATTTTGATAGGTACTAGCTAAACGCACTCCTCTTCTGCTAATATTTTCCTTCTTTTTATGTCTTTTAAGTGATTTTGTGATTTTTTTACGTTATTAATATTTCATAAAATATTTTTATAGACTATTTATTATGTATAAAGTAAGTCTTCAAAATGCATAGTTTGACATTGTGTATAAATTTGTGATAAAATTTTTCTTCCGTAAGCAAACAGGGTGAAATGTAGTTTGCGCATGAATTATTAATCTCTCGCTCGTCAATAACTTTTTATATTTAAGTTATCAAAGCTAACATAATTTATTCTATCCAAATATAAAATACTTGTTATTCTTGCTAAGTAACTATCCAATAACAGTTGTATTTTATGATTATCACAATTGTTTTCAATTAATTTCTTCGATTTTTTTTATCAATAATAAAGGCATTTTTTTTAAGTCACATCTTTTAAGCTGAAAACTTCAATTGTCGTTTCACAATGCTTTGAAATATCATTTATTCTTCCTTGGTACTTCACAGAGGATTAAAAAAAATTGGTATGTATTAAATAGGTTTTTTGCATTTACAGGGAAAAATGCTTCCAAACGCCCTTCTTCAAGGGTTGTATGGAGTCTTTGTACCTCTACGACGAGGAGGAACAGATAGATCAAATGATCGACTTCGTCGGGAAACGCTAATGCTATCAGCCAGCCCAACATTTCGCGCCAACTCTTGACAAGACGCCATTTTGGCACAACCCAAACGAGTGAAAACAAACCACAGTAAAGCAAACAACGTACAAAATAACGGTCAACGCAATTCCACCGCTTTGCCAACAAAAAAATAGCATAAAATGTCAAGTTCCTCCGATTGACGTTTGCTTGCTATCCTCAACGTATTCTAGTCTAAAAAGCGACATATAAATTATGTTTGCAACTAATTGTAATGTTATCATATTTTTTAGATAATGTGTATACCTAAGGACATTTATAGTGTATATTAATATTTTGCGTTATTAAGTGTTATAAGCTTGGTAGCTATGGGATTGTAAAGTACATTGAAGATTTGTTTTATTATATTAGATCACCTCCTAGGTAAAAAAAATCTTGTTCTCGAGGCAGACAAACCGTTTCGCCGATGCTGGTCATCTTCAAGTCTGTCTCATCTTAACATTTAAATACCTGACTGAGATTGTCCGTTTAAAGTGCATTCCAATTAATTTAATTTAAAACAAATACTTATTTACCTGTACGCTTTTATATTGAAATTATCTGATACTGAAATAACTTTTGTATTATTGAGTATTATGTATAAATATCTAACTTAAGCTTAAAATAATTTTATATAATCACACAAGTGGCTTAACATCAATTCATTCATTTTCGACATTTTATGTTGTGCCTACGTTAAAATATTATAAATAGATTTTAATTGGTTAATTTTATTCTTTACATGCCTAGTTATATAAAACACGACCTTCTTCTAAATTAAATTATTAAATTAAGTAATGTTATTTACGGTTAGATCTTACATATGTCATATATTTTTGACCTTTTCTCTTTGTATTAAACTAGAGTTCAAAAATATATATACTTTAAAATGTGACTATATTAAATAAAATTTGTCAAAATAATTAAAACCTAGCAACACACACTGCTGGTGTAGCCAGTAAAATTAATATTTATTACCAATAGTAAATATTCATTGTTGAATATTCAATAAAACGCAAGAATGGTCGTGTCATGCTATTTTTCGCTTTAATCTGGTTTCGGTAGTATGGGAGATAGTTTCAATTAATTATATCTCTTTATATTAGTTTTTAAGTATTTATAACGTTTTTTTTATACTTCCGACCTATTTATTATTTGTTACTATGAACGTTTAATTTATTTTTAGCAGTTTCAATTTTGATAATCAGTATGATTTAAAGAGTACCAGTGGAATGATGAAATCACTCTTGTCTATGGTTTATGTATAAGTTGCGGTTTATACTTACCTGTCTTCGTTTAGTGCAACTGATATTTTCTTCTTTATATTAGAATCTCACTTTTATTTAGTAAATTTTAGCGTTTCTTATTGTCATTCTTTCCTCCCGAAATATTTACAATTCTTTTAGTCTGTAACACTGTATGATATGAAAATGGTGCCAATTATGTCCCGACATATTAGATTTAAATAATAATATAATGAATGTTTAACTGCATTATTATAGAACAATGAAGATAATATTGTTAAAAAATATTGAATTAGAAAAATATTAATCGATTTGTATATTTTTTTTAAACAGCTAAGAAACGCTACGGGTTCCATAAAATATATTTCATTCGAAAATCAAATCGTATTTTAATTTTTTTTTCTTACGGAGTCCTATTTGCCTACCCAACAAAGATAGATTTATTGTTTACTCATTTAAGATATTTTAAGAAATCCACTGGCTCAGATTTCATAAAATCACATGCATTTCTCAGATCATCAATAAAGAATTTAAAGCAATCGGATTATGGAAATCTGAAACAACAAAGGTATCACAACACCTAGACTCGACTGAGAATCAAAACCTTAGAGATGGAAACCTTAGAGATCGAAACATAGAAACCACCGTGAGAGCTACTCTGTTACGGAGGTCTTCAATCTCTCCATAAGTTTAGGCAAAAAAAAACAATATTGTTTCAAATACTTTATTTTAAAACTATTTACATTATGATACAGTGATACTGTGCGCATTAAACCAAAATCAAGCCATACAAACTCACATTATAGATAAAAGTTGACCAAACCTATTCATTTGGACACTCAGAAGCACGTCAATTTACCAAATAAGTGAATTCCGCAATTGATTTTGCACTCTATGCCACACGCATTAAGTATCAAAATCAAGTGGATTACTTTGAGTTTGGTATAGCTTGACATGCTTATGATTGTACACTGTAGCACTGTAAGAGGAAATATGGAATACTTGTACAACTATTTCACGTATGAATCCAAACAGTAATTGACTTACGGAGCGTATTTAGCCTACTTTCATTAAAACTCTAACCAGTAATCGAAGTTGATAGAGCTATTTCCGATTGACAACCCCTGTCATAAGATATCATTATCAGTGTTACACCCATTTTTTGACGCTGAGAAATGCATTCCGCATGTCCGCTCCCCCCATGCGCTGGGGTTCACGGGGTCTGTGGGACTCCTCCTGTGGTCCCACCCCCAGAATGGGGGCTAGACAAGAAACAGGAGTTTACCCACTAAAACTCAGCGATGTCCCTCTCATGGTAGGCGAGGCGCGGGATCGGCCCGTAGGCCATACACCGCGCAGTTCGCATCAGTGTTACACCCATGTTAGACTACTGAAGTGGAGCAGATAGGAACTACGTATATTTCAATTGAATATTCGATTTTTTTTTTATTACAATGACACTGTTAATATTTTTATTTTATATTTGACATTCTAGCTTACTACTGAATCTTTGTACTAGTATCGCAATGACAAATTGAAGGTTTTGACATATACTTAATATTTTGCATGCTATTTAAGATGCCCAAATATATTAAGGCACTTACTACTGAATTCATAAATTCTTTATTTTTAATTGCAAATAAATGTTTTTAAACTCTCTTCTCCATTCCTCCTACGATGGAGGGTTAGTCATAATGTGGATATGACTCGTGAATAAGAGTTTCACAATTAACTTATGTATAGTAATTGCATTGATGGAGAAACTCAATGGCGCAGTGGTTCGCGCGTTTGGTCTGCAATGTGAAAATTAAGCAAAAAATAGCTCTATCTAACTCAATCACTGTTCTTCACACATGTCAAATATATAAATTTCATGTTACTACTACTACAAAAAAAATGAATTATTAATTTTATATTTAAATTTAAATTAAAAAAAAAATAGTTTGCAGTATAATTTATTCATTATACAACTAAATTGAAACAGTCTTGTGTCCGCAATGGAATTTTATTTATCTATATTTCGTCTAGCCAAAATAATATTTTTCATAATAAAAATGGTTTACATAAAAATATATTGTTTGATATATTTATATCACACGTAAATTAAAAACTAGATAATGGCACTACAATATGAAACTATCGTTCAAACTAAACATAATTAACAAAAGCAATAACATAAACGCAAATATTTCCTAATTTCAATGCATATTAAAATGTTACCAAAGGACATGCTTAATAAGAAAGTTCATTACACGACAGGTCACACGATCACAACGTTGTCGCTTTTAATACAAAGGGAATTGGAGTTAAGCCCAGGGAACTTTTTCGTAAAGCTGTTTATACTCTGTTTAAAATCATTTGCCGCCAAAAACAAATTGACAATGACAGAAACATAAACGTCAAATTGTGACATTTTTTCAGGCGGTCAGATAATGGTTTTAATCTGGTATTCAAATAAAACCTCGTTTAATTATAAGACGGACACATCATACTGATTTTGAAAGTAATATTTGTGAATGGGTTAATTTCTTTGAATGTAGGTAAATTTTAATGTCAATAGAAGTGAATAACTATTATGTTCACGCTGGCAACATTTATCATACGACATTATGAATAGACTACTGGACCTATATGTTTTGTCATTTTTTATATGGGGTTTCGTCAATAAAAATAAAAAGAAAATCAATTAATATATAATAAAAACCTATTAATGTATCAGTAACTACCATAAATTTCAATAGAAAAATATTTCAAATCTATGTTTCGCTATTCTCTAAAACTGGGGCATAATTGTCTAATTTCAAATCTATCGCAATTTCTTTCAAATTGACCTCTGACAGATATTCCCGAACTTCACGCTACAACTTTTTGACATGTGATAGCAATTACGATCGCGAAATTTTTAATTCAATTTTTATTGAATTCAAGAAATCGTTGTTTGAAATTTTCTAAGGCAAGCATTAGGCGCTAATATTTAGACTGAGAGCTATTAAGAAATACCAAACGAAAGAGTTTGTTTTTCCTATCTCTGTTTATAATGTATTGATCTGGTAATGACATGGTTTTTGTAAATGTCATTACTCTTATTAGAGCTGGTGAGTTTCTTGCTCGTTCTTCTTATCAGCCAAAAGACGTGCTGAACGAGTGGTAGTGAAAAAAATGTTGGACGATTCAAAAGTACTTTTAAGAAGTCTATTTGAATAAAGATTATTTTGACTTTGACTTTGAGTTTTATGCAAACTGCAATCTTTCGAAGAGTTTACGTAAGGTTTTATTACGTTTCTTGGTCATTAAAATCATGATTAGTTCCAAAGAGATTGCGGCTTTAAAACTTACACAATTCCATAAAGCGCTATCATAATCGATATATATTTGAAAGGGATTGCGTTTTATTATAAAATTAGACAATTAGACCCCTGATTGTACGTTTAACGTTGGAAGATAAACTTCATCGTCTAACCTTAAAAAAACCGAAAAATCACATATTACCATATATCACAATTCATTACTTAACGAGGTATCAAACTACTAATGAAAGCAAAGGCTTGTACATAAGATTTTATAGTTCTGACGTCACATCACCAACGACATGTAACGGATTTTACGTCAGTATGACCAAGCCTAAAAGTGCACAGAAATCGGGTGAACAAAACAAAATACGGACGGGTGTCAATAATTTAGGGGCCGTCCATTAATCACGTGATGTGTTTTTCAATATTTTTTGACCCCCCCTTCCCCTTGGTGATACATGTTGAGGTTTTAAACTACCCCCTCCCTCCTTCGACCAAATCACGTGTATTAAAAAAAATCAAAAATCTTAATTTTTGACGTCGCTTTTCGGTTTAATAATCGCGCGTCGAGGAAAAAATAACTACAGCCCCCCACCCCCCTTGTGATATTTCGTGATTTTTGGCGAATCCCTCCCCCCCCTTTCGAGCCTCACGTGATTAATGGACGGCCCCTTAGATACAGAATAAAAGAGACATATTTATTTTTTTAATAATTAATCCGACCCGAACGTTTAATTGTGTTAACTCTATGCTACAAAGTGATTAATATCAAAAAAGTTACATATTTAATGTAAGTTGCATTTATGAGGTAGCTTTGTACTTTTTATGTAGAAATTTTGTTAAATTCCGGTTTTCAGCCCAGTGTTTTCATTTAGTAATTAGCTCATTTATTAATTACAATTTATTTGGATTACCATTTATTTTTGGTGATTTGCTTTTAATAAACCAATTTGATAGATTATTATAAAGCTCTCATAAAGTACGAGAGCATTTTGTTTGTACACACAAAAGCACTACAAAATGCCAAACAAACATTTAGAATTTAACTATAACACATTAAGATTAAAAATCTATTAGGGTGACAGTTTTGGATAATTTAAGGGAGGGTGGCCACGAATTAATTTTACTAAAAACAAGAAAAAAATGAGATTTCATATTAATTGCAAACATCTATAGATGTCATAATCTCTATCACTACAACAAAGTCGATTGTTCATATGAATTTATCTATATAATGATATATGTACGTATACAATGGCACCTTTGGTTCGTATAAAATTTCGAATACGGGTGTAGACGGTTAACGGAAAAAATGCTATAATTTACGCGCACGAAATCGCGGGTAAACTGCTAGTATCTAATATGTACCTGGCGCTACGAGCGAGCGTAGCGGCATCCTTTCATTTATGAATAAAAATAGACATATGAATGTCACGACAGTGCAATAAAAAATGAATAATATTTTTTGTTTAATGTATTGAATCACAATTAAACTCGCACATAAAGCAAACGTTGCTTATTACGTTAGCTAAAAGTATTATATAGTCCTGTCAGGTTGCTGGTGTTTAACAAATAACAGTGTTTATAATAAAACAAAATGTAAAAATGAAGATATAGCCATCTTTGATATATAATAAACAAACCGGGAAAGTGCGAGTCGGATTCGCACACAAAGGTCTCCGTACCATCACATATAAAAACACAAAAAATCATGTATGTTATATGATTGTTATAGCGGTAACAGAAATACCTTATGTGTAAAAAACTGTCTAACTATCACGGTTCATGGCAGCTACCTAGTGACAGACAGATGGACAGCGGAGTCTAAGTAATGGAATTGCATGTTTTTTTTTTGTACGGAACCCTAAAAATTACTCTTGCGGTAGCTTAACTAAATGATATAAAAAATATTCAATAAAACCATTGGTCTAGTCTAGATTCTACCACATACTCCGAAATAAAGCATAAATATTTTTTCTCCATAAGTAGGAAGCAATAATTTTAATTCTTCTATTCTGAAGAACAGAAAAAGAAAACATATGAGTTATGCTTTCTTAACGTTCTAAAATAACGTTTAAATGATATAGTATAACTAAACATTAAGAGAAAAACTATTTTTCATTACCTTGAAATTTTGTACGTATATGAAATGACATAAAGCTCAAAGTCGTAAAAACGGCGAATATGAATATTTCTTTTTCTTTAATAAAAAAAAAAATTCTAATATTTAGCTGATGTCAGACAAGTACTGTACATGTGATTGAAATAAAAAGAGAAGATCCGACTTAAGTATCTCAATCAAAAAAATTTCTAATAATTAACAGGATACACAAAGTCATATAAAATTACATAACTTGAGCGAGTGAGACGAAACTCTCTTCTGTCTCTCTCTGATAGATATTGTGCGAAATCTATACATATATGTTTAGATTATTATAATATCCAGAAACGCTAAAATTGTAAGCAATTTAATAAACTGTAAATGTAATTTGTTCGGCAGACCGTCAAATGCGTTTCGCGTACGTATGACATGAATCGGTATATTGTAATTAAAAAATTGAACATTTGAGAGTGAAATCGTGCAAAAATTACTACAATAACTATCTTAAAGAAAAAAATATTATAAACTAAGCCAATCCGTAATTAGAATTATTTGTACTGCTGAATTTAACATTTATTTCCGTTATAAGTGAACATTTCATTAGTGGAACGAACAATATTCCTAACTAATGCGATTATACGTGCACGTCTAACTCACACACCGCCACTGCCGTATCTCCTCTTTTAATTTTAATCCAAAAACTGTAGCGATCGCTTCCAATTGCGATGAGTGAAAAACTTTAAAGTAAGCCTATTTAAGTTCAATATTGCTTAGCCATTTCGGACGGTTTCGTAACACGTTTTTAACAGAAAGGGTAGTTACTAGAATCTTCGGCTAAACGGGGCTACAAGGATCGTTGTCGACTTCCAGACAGTAATCGAAATGGTCCTCCATTATAGAGTAGTTGTCGGATTTAAACTTCAGACACTTCGGGCACGTGTATATCTGAAAAGAAATAATATTGCACTGTTAACAAAGTTGTTTTTCCCATGTTCGCATTTTCGATACTTTCGACAAAGCGTGTTGTTAAATATTTTTTAAGTTTAAACGCTGAAATCGATAGATGGCGTTAGAGTTCTGATTTGATAAATATTGAGTATTTTTAAGGGACTTGTAAAACATGTCTGATTCAGGTAGTCTAATCTTTCTATATTTTAACTTAAATTTTTACCTCATGTTAAATTACACTTCAGAGTACAATTATTGACGACCAGCCATCAACATATCACATACATGTTTAGCTGCTGCTGAAGCAGGATTATTCAAAATGCTACGAATCACTCCAATAATTGTGATGTTGGAGTGTTTCTAAACATTTTAGGTATTGCGGTTTAGATGATCCATCAATAATCGTAGCTCTTTCCATACCCATTTATTATGTTTTACGTTTATGACGCCATCTAGCGAATCACAAAGTATAAAACATTCCACATTAAAACAAATTTTATGGTAAAAAAAAATATACATTGTTATGTTTTGTAATCTCTGGTTAGCAATAAAAAAAATACTACAAAACATATACTCAAACAAGGAACAATGCAATCAGTGCACAAGTTTGAATATTGTGTTTGTTACAGTGAGTCATATATTCTCCTTTTTTAATCAAATCGTTGATAAAAAAGTAAAAGCAAGTACAAAACACGTTAATGTTATTTGTACTACTAATAATTAATTCTTAGTAATATACTACAGTTTCATTTTCATAAAAGTGTTAAAAAATATTAAATTTAATTTTTTAATTTTATATTTCTAAATCATTTTCTTTTTTAGTGACATGTTCTTTAACGATAATTAAATTAACATTTAAATTTTTTCACCGATTACTTAATAACCCTGTATAATAAATTTTAAATATAGAAATCTCTGTTCAAATGGTTTTTCTTATAACCATGATGATTTTCTTTCCCAAAAACGGCAAGACATACTTTTAAAAAACTAAATTAAGTGAAGAAAATCGAATTGCTTTGGAACTCTGAAACCTGGAGATAACACGCAACTACGAACATCACGTTAATTGAAGTTAGGCATTTTAATATAACATAATATTTAACATTGATACGTAACACACACAAACACACATACATTACGTTCATTTTCTAATATTACAGATTAAATATTGATAGCAGTTAGAAATGTTTACTTTGGATTCCGACTATCTTTGTGATCCGACATTTTAATTTGTATAAAAATGCTGTTGGAGCTTCAATGTAACAATGACAACGTACAAAAACGTTTCAATTCAGAACCTTTCATCAATAATAAATACTAGGTTATGTAACTATTGATATCAGCTTTTAATACGAATAAGTTTATACCCAGGCAGGATCCAACTATGCAATCTCAACAGAAACCTCAGTTTAATCCGCAACTGAGAACGAAATAATTATAATCGATCGGTCGGATAGCAAAAATGTTCAAAGCCCTTTTTTATTAATTTACATCAAACACAATTAAATATAATGAAGCTGTCAAAAATCTACAAAGATAAAAAATCCTCACCTATAAGATCTTTTCGGGGCCAAATATTGGAGAAAAAAAAAGTTAAATACTCCTGGAAATATATAATTAAAAAACAAAACTACGTACAGCAACAAAAATATAAACAGATATAAAATTTTAAAATAAATTAATAACAGTAAATGCAAATACAATATCTTAATATTTTTTAACTAGGCGAATGGCAATATTTATTGTTTTATAATAAGAACTAGCAACATCGCACAAAAGGTCAGATACTATATGTATAGATACTATACATATTATTTTGCAAAGATCTTGGCTTGAGTCAACTTATTGCTCGAGTAACAAGAGTTAAATTACTCAACTCGACCATCATTTAGAGAGGATGGAGATCTCGGCTTTATCATAAACATAAATTCTAACTTGGAACATTGTTAGTTCTGCATGTGTGGTATTATAAAAATTGAGTGTTATAATTTAAGTTCATAACACCATTGGTGACTAGAGAATATAAATAACATTTACAAATACACATAAATTTAATAATAGACAGCACGAAAATATTTTAAAAAGATATTTAAGTTGTAATACTTGTATTTTTGTACTTAAAACATTTATTTCTACTTTTCAACAATAATTAATTTATAAAAAGAAATATTGGCAACTAATACTCATGGCGATGCTATAAGAGAACTTACCCAAACTATGTGTCCCATATAGGGGGTCTTTAAAAACAATCGTCATCTAGTCAATATCCAGTAGGGACATTCAAATTAAGGACACTAGCACATATTTGTATGTGTACTGGGATGGGAACCTTAAGTTTAAATGGATTCGAAAAAGAGCCACTAAATAAATATTTTCTTGACATTCACTGACATCTCAAAACCATAATTTCGAGAAAACGCCACAACATTGTGGTGGGATCCCATAGAAAATTTAAAGAAAAAATAAAAAAATTAACAGTAATAATATAATACAAACGATTTAACTGTTATGCTAAACAATTTGATTTTAATAATTAAACATTATGATTTTCATAAATTTCGGAGAGCGTTTTCTCAAAATTATGGTTTTTGAGTTGTGCCACTGTACTGTTCAGTGAGTAAGTTATTCTTATAATACGGCAAATGTCGTGACAAACGTAGATGCATTTATCTACAACTATTACAAGTTAAAAAAATGTCAAGAAGATAGGCTCTTTTCCCCCCCGTCTATAGTAAACAAGAATCGACGTGTTGTTGGAGCAGTATGAGTGTCTTGAAAGGCTTATCGCACACTGGGCAGTCGAACCGCGGCGGCGGCGGCGTACCCTCGTGAACAATCTCTACGCTCTTCTCTTCTGATACTTTCTTTTTCTTTGCACCCTTTACCGTGTTACTCTAGCAAATATCGCGACATTTTTTTTAAACGTTTTAACGCAGGAAATCAGTGAAATGATAAATCCGATTCGGTAACAGTTTCACAGAATAATGTTTGGTATTCGGTGAAACTACTGTTCGGCGCATGTCTAGTAATTACAATACCTGTAGTTAGAATTGACAATTATATAACATGACATTGAACCTTAAACAAACGAAATTCCGTGAGACGCTCGGCGGAATTTCAGTCAGATTTGTACCGACTGATTTTGTGATTTTCTTGTTAGAGTTTTAAAATTTATATTTCGAATTCTATTCTATTTCTCTTTCTTCTTTTATGTTTCTTGAGTTTTCTTTCTATTTTGTCTACACTCTTATTGTAGGTAATTTAATTCCTAGGTACTTGACGTTTTAATGTGAGTAATAACACTATAAACTCACCTGTTTCCTGCTGGTCCCATTGCTCGCGGGAGCAGAAGCTGAAGTGGAAGCGGGAGCGGGAGCTGAAGCGGGCGCGGGGGAGGCGGCGGTCCTCTGTGACGTCACCCTCCGGTGCAAGCCCGAGTCGAGTCTACGGACCTCTTCCAACTGAAAACATACACAAAACTATAGAAACTAGTTCTTATAATAAAACCGATTCCATAAAGGGATACACATCGGGCTGATTTTATAAATATTTCAGTACTAGAGGACTCGGCGAACTTTGTAACGCTTAACAGTGAACGAATGATTGATTGATGATTTAGGATTCATTGTCACAATAAGATTTATATTATTATAATTCTCGCACTTAACACATCAACAATCAGCTTAGCGATAATTTAAAACATACCATAGACATTACGTAAACTATCAGTAACCTTTTTTATCAAATGAATGATGATCGTGAGCTGTCAGTTGCGTTTTATTATACCATTTATCAGTGTTTTGCATATTTTTTTAAATTTATTGTTTGTTTAGTTAGCTGTATCATATTTTTATTATTATTATCCTATTCCCGAAGTTAGTAATTATTTTACAAAAAGCCTTGCTAATGGTTGCTATGTGGGTGCTGTACAGTGTTTTATATTATATATTTGTGATGACTATTTGTCATAAATAAATTTAAAATAATAATGACAGATGATGAATATACTTTATATAAATACCTGTGCGGTGAGATCCTTTATTCGTTTTTGCGCCGTCCTTAAATCTGTTAAGACAAATTCCTTTTGACACGCCATGTTCTCCCTCGCTTCCCGTTCAGCCTCGAAATCACTCCTATGTTACAAGCAATAAGGTTTATATTAACAAATGGATATAGTACACACTGAACAGAAATTTTACTACATACAAAATTTGAACTCGCACGTCATAAAATTTCAGAAAGTCAATATAAAAAATTCAATGGCTGCTATCAACTACAAGTTTTTTTTTAAATTGGTATTAAGAAATGTATTCTATGATATACGATTTAATAGTCAAATTTAAATGATAAGTTCATTGCTAAGTTGGAGACGCGACGTCTATCTACATGCTATAACTGTTACGGCTATATTTCTATTAATTTTAATCAATTTTTGTCTTTGAAAATATTGTGTATCGTCACAAATATATGCGATGCGAAAGTTAAGAAACTTCCCCAAGGACTGATCATAGCATGGGTGATCAAAAATATTATCTGGAACTACTCCTAGCTTCGGAAGTAACGTTAAGCCATCAGTCCCGGCTGCATCCGCAGACACTAACACCCACCAATCCGCATTGGTCTTGTCACATTCTCCGCATTCAAATAATTTAGTAGTAGTAGTAGTAGTTTATTTCGGTCATTGGGACAGGCGAAGGAACTAGGCATACTGCCAAATTCAAGATCTCTTCAGTATTTACACATAACCATCGTTTTGAGATCAAAATAATTCGATCCCCTATGAAAAGCCTGTGTCCCAGCAGTGGGGACATTAATAAGCCACTGATGATGACGGATACTCACTTATATAAATCCAACTGTGCCTTCAGCAAATCACTATCATCGTTCCGAGAACGGAGTTGGTTCAGTTCCGCTTGTAATGATTGAATCTCCTGCCCTCGAGCTAACAACGCGGATGTCAACGCTTCCACATTGGGACTCACTGGTTTCTGTCATAAAAAATATTATTAATATCTTATTACTATAATTAGTTTAGAAAATTAGACTAAAAAATATACTCACGGGTTCCTGTTTTGTCAGGTTTTTCTTAAACAACTCGTTATAGTCTTTGAATATTCCTTCAAATATCGATAGTGTACTTCTAACTTGAACTCTGGAATTTAAAATAAAAACTTTATATTTCCACAAACAAATATAGGAAACTATTGGCACAATATTTAAATGATTTATTTAAGCAGCAGACGTACATGAAGTCATATGCACATCAGCTGGTACCATCGGCAAACAAATAATAAGAATATTTTACTTCAGCTTAACTTCCTACGAGTTAAGGGCAGTTGAAAGTTGTTATTATTTGCGTAAAGATTATCAAACTTATATCATTGCTAGTGGTACTGGTACTATAAAAGTACTAGTACCACTCGTAAGAATTATCATGACATCTGAAGGCATATTCCATTTCTCCGAAAACAAAATGTCATATATCTTAGAAACGCTAACACGACCCCAACGACACCCATTATTCGATAATTTACGATGCAACGAATTTTATTTCAAGGACCAATAAGTCATATCAACCTTTACGTCAGCGTAGGGGAGGGATCAAGAGTTTTACTTACTTTTGCTAAGAAAATGACAGAGGATATCAAAATTCTTAATTTTTACAACTACTTACTTCTTATGAATACTTAGTTAAACTATATAGTTATACTCACACGTGGTTTAGTGAGGCGCTATGCTGTTTCTCTAGATGTAGCCTCAGATCTTGTAGACAAGCCTTGAACTGTTCCACCGTCGTCCTCTCCAACTTGACATCCAACAAACTAGATGCCACTGCCAACGCTTCCACCAAGCTGTCCGTCAACCTAGCATACAAAAAAATAATTGATATTGTTACAGAGCGCAGCGGCGCGGTTCATCTACGCATTACTAGATGGCGTTATACGCCTATGAATCGCACTAACACTGTTGAAACTGACTGTGTCATATAGGTATACATCGGGTCGGCGAGAATGGGACATTCACAGGGGAAGAAAGGGGTGGATTTTTGGTAACGCCTCGAATACATCGGTAGTAGCGTTGTGTTACTCACTCTTTTTTAATGAGGATGTGTGAGTACCTCATTTTCCCTCGTGAGGGGCTCGCGAGTTACCCCTCATTTGAGGTGAGGATAGGTAATGTTATAGTAGCAGTGAATGAGTACGCAGCGAGGCGCTCGCAACATTGCCGTTTGGTACAAAATGAGGGAGGGAGTCGCTAATGCTAAACAAAACATATTTTGTCTTTAGATTCTAAAAAATAAACTTTATTAGATTATTATTTAACAGAATGACCACAACACGTAACTTATTTGCAGTAGTATCAAATGTTCCATTTTTAAAATAGATCAATTAATTATATTTCGAATCATATAAATATATTTCTAAATAAAACCGATACATTTTTATTAACTTTGATTTTTACTTAGACTAATTAATATCATTTATCTATAAAATATTAAATACGTGTTTGTGAAGAAACACATAAACAAACCTGAAACGTTCCAAAAAACTCATAAAACTTAACCCATTCCCTCGATCTTGAATATATTGAGTAAGTATCGAGTCGCCTTTTCATTCGAATCAACTCGCTGGTCAAGGTGGTTCAAAATTGAAAAACGAGGACTCCCTCATTTTGTCGAAATGAGGAACTCAAACGAGGCACCTCGCGAGTGAGGGGCTCATCACTAATCGGTAGGGCCGAGGAAACATCATTCTAGATATGGTATCGGCGCCTGTAAATACGCGGTGGACACTAGTCCCCGGGATTCTTTAATGAGCAAGCAATAGGGATCGGACGCGAAACTCGAAGCCATGATTAGAGCGGTGAACGATCTAATTGTGTTGTGAAGTTTTATTAATGGTGTGAATGAATTTAATAGTTGGATTATTATTGTAATTTATTTTTAAATAAAGTCAGATTGTAAACAATAATTGGCGTTAATTTTTATGCCGAACCCTCAGTCGTAATAATATTAAGGCGATCCATTTATTAATATTATTTATATCTGTATATAGAGAGTGAGTATCTCGGTGGCGCAGTGAATAGGCGCCTCGGCCCGCGATCGTTATTGTTAAGCAACTTTCGCAATGGACAATCACGGAATGGGTTACCGAAAAATTATTATTTCGAGCTACTCCGCGCTTCGGAAGGTGCGTTAAGCCGTTGGTCCCGGCTGCATTTGCAGTCGTTAATACCCTCCAATCCGTATTGGGCCAGCGTAGAGGGTCATGGCTCATTCTTCTTAACCATCCATAAGGAAGGCCTGAGCCGATGGTGATGTATATAGAGTGATATGTTAGAAAGAGAGGCACATACCCGTGTGTGACAGTGTTAAGTAGATCGGCTAGATGTTTCAGAGTTCTGTCGTATAATTTCACGTTAGTGATGAGACTGGAACATTCTGTACTGCCGGAACTCGTTTCTCTTTCGACGCTCAATGACACTCGTACCGGTTGGAATACCTTGGAAACAAAAGATATATATTTTGAGCATCTCCATGATATGCAATCATCAAAATATAGGTATGATGTTGTGCATATTTTGTTATTTATGTTGGTAAGTTTGTTATATGTTGTCTGTCGTAGAAATACCTAGGGTTGGCAACCATGATCCACATCTAGATTTAGAGCCACAGACCACAAAATACCTTATACTTATACATTAATAAATGTGTAGGGGCAGTTTTGTGTCATGGTTATGCCCCCCCCCCCCCCCCCCCCTCAGTCGTTTCTTCTTGTTATATATTGATATAAAAGCAAAAGAAATTATCACAATCATACAAGAATTATTATTAATGATGTTAGCTATTTAATCCTTGAAGCCGCTGGTGTTTTATAAATAACCCTATATAAGCTCTATATATAAGCCATGTATCAGTATGTATTGAATTAAAATATATAAGCTCTCCAAACAGGACAAAAGGGGCTATAAATAATAAACTTACCGTAGTCTGAGCTTCTTTCAGTCTATTATGTAGATCTTGCATCTGTTCTTTGTACATTCTAATCGTTTCTGAGAGACTAGATTTGTGCTTCGTGAACTCCAACTGTACAATTAATAATATACATTTTAAATATAATACCGACAACCCCTTAAAATGTAATCAATTTTGAAATTGATTTTCATATATAACAGAGATGACGACTGGGTAAAACAAAATAAATTATATTTACTTCTTTTTTACTTCAATTTAACAAGAAATAGCTTAGATAACAGGCATTAAAGTTGAGGAGTGGGGGCTCGCTACGTCACCGTTTTGTAGAAAATGTACGAAAACGTGACGTCATGTGACATTTCAACTCAATGTATCGCCGTTATTAATTGATTACGCAAAAAACAAATAAATACGTATTTAATTTTCTTCAATAATGTACCTGAAGAACAAACAAACAAAAATTGGTCACATCCCTACATTACTCAGAAAATGTTACTATTTCTTATGTTTTCATACACGAATCGCAAAATGTGTTGGTAAGCGCATAACTCAACAACGCCTCGACCAATTTGGCCAAATCTTTTTTTAAAATGTTCGTTGAAGTTCAAGGATGGTTTTTACGGCGAGAAAAACTAGAATTATTGCTGGAAACACCCTAAAAATAGCCCTTTTCTTTTTCCCATACAAATGATTTGTAACTAAAACGTAGTCAATTTGAGCTTTATTGCTATGGTATAAAGTTCATATTAAATTACAAGCACTCACTGTTGTCTAAGCAATGTAGGTGTGTTCCTAACGTCAAAGATCATATCTATCAAAACAATGTGCGTGTGTGCGTTGGAGCACAGAATACATAGTTGGAGGAGTTTAATGTCGCGTTCCGAAACTCGCGTTTCTTTTGTATAAATAAAACAATTCGTACGGCTTAAAAGGATTTGACTTCAAGTCATATCAAATTTAAAAAAAAAAAGTTGTCTGTGAATTACTTACTTTTAAATCCTTATATGTTTTATTTAATTATTTTTTATTCACAACGCCCTATCACCAGGGTGACGGTTCTGTTCAGGAGAATTTTTTTAAATACGTAAGCAAAAAAACTGCCACATTACAAATCTTTTTGACAGGACGAAGACTAATGTCAAAGAGCTAAAAAGTTTCTTAGGCACTGTGAATTTTTACAATAAATTTATGAAAAATGCTGCAAAACATTTACATATTTTGTACAATTTATTAAAGAAAAATACACCATGGAAATGGACAAGTGAACATATGAAAGCATTTAAATGGGCTAAAGATATCATAGCTTCAGATCAAGTATTAATTCATTACAATCCTAAGTTGCCATTGATTTTAAGTTGTGATTCTTCAAGATATGGGTTAGGTGCTTGTTTATCACATGAAGTAATAGATCAAAAAACTGGTAAATTAGTGGAAAGACCTATAGCTTTCTCAAGTAGAACATTAACAGAAACTGAAATAAAATATTCACAGATTGATAAAGAAGCACTTGCCATAATATGGGCAGTCAAAAAGTATGATTTATATTTGAAAGGCAGGGAATTTACTCTCATTTCTGACCATAAGCCATTGGTATCATTGTTTAATCCGAATAAGACATTAGGATCCATATATGCAGATAGAATGACCAGATGGGCATTAATTTTGTGCAATTATAATTATAAAATTAAATATAGAAGTTCTTTGTTAAACGCTAATGCTGATTTCCCATCACGGTTACCCTTGCCTGTTAATTGTATAGATACTGTAGATGATGATGACAGTCCTATGTTTAATAGCAAATTCATTGATTGTCCTCCAGTGACTGAAACAGAGATAGCAAAGGCTACACAAAAAGATATTGTACTTAGTAAATTGTATACTTACATTGAGCAAGGTTGGCCAAAGTCACTACCTTCAGAATTGTTACCATATAAAGGAAAGGAACTTGAATTTCATATTGTAAAGGGTTGTATAATTTGGCGTAATCGCACTGTCATACCACATAGCTTAAGAAATAAATTGTTATCAGAGCTACATTCAGGACATTTGGGTACTAACAAAATGAAAGAAATGGCTAAAAGTTTCTTTGGTGGCCAAAGTTGAATGAACAAATTGAACAGATTACTAACAATTGTAATGGATGTATTCAAGTAAGAAATAAACCAAATCAACATCCACTTCATAGCTGGGAATGGCCCCAAAAACCATGGCAAAGAATTCACGCTGACTTTGCCGGACCTTTTATGGGTTCTATGTGGCTTATAGTTATAGATTCACACTCCAAATGGCCTGAAATAGTTCGTTTAAAGAAAACAACTTCAGATATTACTATAAAAGCCTTAAGAGCTATATTTGCACGTTTTGGCCTGCCAGAACAACTTGTTACAGATAATGGTCCACAATGGACTTCTGAGGAAATGTATAATTTTTGTAAAAATAATAATATTAGGCACACTTTCACTGCCCCTTATCATCCTGCTAGTAACGGACAGGCCGAACGAGGCGTACAATCGTTTAAGAAAGCATTGTTAGCTAGTAAGTTTGATAAAGATACTGAAGATAATAGATTGTTAAGTTGGTTGTTAAGCTATCGTACGGCTCCACATGCTTCTACAAATAAAACTCCTTGTGAATTGATGTTTGGTCGTCAATTACGAACACGTTTGTCTGCTATAAAACAACCACTATAATATATAAAGCTCAATTACCACTCACTGACTCACTGACTCACTCCATGCTTTTTTCGGGTAGAAAGAGGGGGAAAATGACATTTTCATGTATGGAGACTGATAATATTTTTTTAAAATGAGTTGAAATGGCATATCGGTTCAGCCAAAAAACAAAATGGCGGCGAGATAATTTTTTTAATTTCTACATTATACACTCTATGATTACGATATTCAAAATGGTCGTAGAGTGGGCTAAAAAAATGACACTGGAAAAAGGTTTGATTAAAAAAACAAAATGGCGGCCGAGATATTTTACCTGGAAATTTGGCATTTTTCGACCTCTGTTCGGGCAATCGTCGTTTCTTTTGTGGTGGGTTTGGAGGGGTGCTTTTTACGCCGGCGACTCGGAATTATAGTCGATTTTCACGTACGGGGAGTTTTCATTTGCGCGTCAACATGGCGGCGGCGGTGGCGGCCATTTTGTTTCGGCAATGAAAAATCGCCATTTTCCAGTGAGATTTTCTCCAAGATGGCGGCGTCGGACTGGTTCGCGTCGTATCGGGTGGTCGTGGGGCTCTCTGCTAACTTTTTAAGTTGGTAATAATTTCTACCATTTTCGTGGTAGTTTAGGAGATTTTGGGAGAAAAGTGAAATTTCGAAATACGCACTTTTCTCAGAAAACAGACTCGATGCGGTGTGGCGCCGGGGGAGCCCTATGACTTTTGGTAGTTTTCGTTTCTGCGAGCTGACAACCCTGGACTCCACGGTAGAAAACATTTTTTTCGACATGCCCTCATAACCCGAATTGTTTGGGAACCTGGGTGGCCAGCGGAGAAAATCTGTGAATGAGGTCCCTTGCCTGATATAGTCGTGACTATGGGAAAATTATGAAACTCGGGAAAATCAATATGGCGGCGCCGGCAGCGGCCATTTTGTGATTTTTTCACTTTTTCGAAAAATTCAAACGCACTTTTAGCACACATGGCAACATCGGAGCTCTTCGCCTGGTATGGACTGGTCGTGAGTCTCCGCTGGCTCCTTCGAATGAGGTGAAAATTTTCCCCGATTTTAGGGTAATTTCGGATATTTACCCCAAAAACGTGAAAAGTAGAAGGAGCCATTTGAGAATTTCAAAAATGCTTTTCCTCGACGGAGGGCACTCGCCGAAATGACATTTGACTATTTTCATCATCGTCACCTGGCAACCCTGGTGACTGCGGCGATTTGAAAAATTTCACCCATTTTTTACTTTGTCGACTCTAGCGCAGTCGGTATTGCCACTAGGAAAATGGTATTTACTGCATCGGATGCGCTATCGAGTCGGCCACACCGGTACGGAGCCGGATTTTTAAAATTGAAGATGGCGGCCAAACCAGCGGCCATTTTATCCGAAAAATTGGGTATCGTCACCACGTCGAGCCGATTTTGACGCACTTGGCGACATTTGTCAGAGTACTTCCGGGGAAACATTTTTTAGGCAAGTAACTAAAGTGTTGCCAGGTGAAAAAATATCTCGAAAATTTTTGATACTTTATGAGATTTTTGAGGAAACAATTTTTGTCGAATTTTTGAACTTTTTTGATGCAAGTATTTTAATTTTAACTTTTCAAGATACCCGATGGAAAAAATAGAACGATCGACTGGCAACACTGAGAGCAAACGACGTTTGAAATTCAATCTCTATTTTGACCGACTTGGCAACCCCGTAGGTATTTGGCGTGTATAGAGCGATTGTGTATCTCTATAGACTCTTTCATGTGGTGGAAAAAAATTACCCGATTTTAGGGTAGTTTTTGAGATTTACCCCAAAAACTGTAAATGTCAACGGAACAATTTTAGAACTTGAAAATTGGTATTCGTTGAATGAGGGCACATCCCAAAATCATACTTGACCATTTTCATCGCCAACACCTGGCAACCCTGGCAGCTACGGCGGTTTGAAGATTTAATACCCACTATTCACATTTTGGACTCTAGCGCAGTCATTATCGCCGCTAGGAAAATAGTCAAAACTGCGTTGGATGCGTTAATAGATGGGCTACATAGGCCTGAGGTTGAAATTTCAAAATTCAAGATGGCGGCTGTAATAGCGGCCATTTTATCTAGAAAATTTATCATTTTTCATAACTTTCACTTTATAGAGCTGATTTTGGCGTTTTTGGTAACATTTTTAAGAATACTTTTAACAAAAATATATATCCAGCTGAAGTGTTGCCAGATGAAAAAAAAACAGTAAAGTTTTTGATACCGAGATTTTTGAGAAACTTTCATGTAATGACATACATGATAAAAAATATTAAAATATTTTTTTTACAGTGATTTTACTGTTTAACAAAATTTACTGATGCATTTATAACATAATTGATGGAATAATTTGAGTTCTAGCAAAAAATGATAGTAGTCACCAAATAAATTTCAGAATGATTCTGACCGAGCTGGCGACTCGGCAGCTTTATATTATATTTATATATTTATAGCATATATAGACCGTTTGTGTATCTTTACTCAATCTTCGCGTGGTGAGAAAAAAAAAACCAATATTTTCACTAGAAAAATAAAGCGAGCGAGACATTGTCATTCGGTTAGATTAGAACTGTGACTAAAACAAAAAGCGAGCGAAGCGAGCCATAAAGAGTGACCACTTAGAGAGATTTGATTAATTGGTAAGGTTAGAACTGAGACTTAAATAAAATGCGAGCGAAGCGAACCGTAAAGAACACCATCAATAGAAATCTGATCAATCAGTTAGATTAGAACTATGAATAAAAGCGAGCGAAGCGAGCCATAATAAATGGAGACCTGGTCAATCGTTTAAGGGACTGTGACCAAATTAAAGAGCGAGCGCAGCGAGCCATAATGCGAGACCATTAAAAGAGACCTGATCAATCGGTTATATTAGCACTGTGACAAAAAGCGAGCGAAGCGAGCCATAAAGAGTAACTATTAAGAGAGATTTGGTTAATTGGCAAGGTTAGCACTGTGACCAAAATAAAGAGCGAGCGAAGCGAGCCATAATGCTAAAGAATCAAGAGAGACCTGATCAATCAATTACGTTAGCAACGTGTCTAAAACAAAAAGCGAGCGAAGCGAGCCATAAGAAGTAACTGTTAAGAGAGATTTGGTTAATTGGTAGGGTTATAACTCTGACAAAAATTAAATGCGAGCGAAGCGAGCCATAAAGGACACCATCAATAGAGACCTGGTAAATCGGTTAGAATAGAACTGCGACAAAAAACAAAAAGAAAAAGCGAGCGAAGCGAGCCATAATAAATGGAGACCTGGTCAATCGGTTAAGAAACTGTGACCAAGTGTGCTTATAAGTGTGCTAGAAAATGTATCATTTTTCACGTTTTTACTTTATAGAGCTGATTTTGGCGTTATTGATAACATTTTTCAGATTACTTACAGAAAAAAAAATGTATTCAGTTGAAGTGTTGCCGGATGATAAAAAACCAGTTTTTTTTTGATACTGTTATTTTTAGGAAATTTTCTATTGAATAAGAATAAAAGACTAAAAGGCGACGTATACAACATTTATTTTAAGTTTTCTTACGTTTTTCAACTAAATATTTCTTTTTATATTGCGTGTAAACTGGCAACCATTTTTTTATGTATGATGTTTTGCGTAATTAAAGATCTTTTATTTGAAGATAGAACTTACAAACTTTTTCGAGGCAATTTTATACTGTAAACCCAACATAATAAGAGGCGGTCTTAAAACTCCAATATTTGTATTAACTTAATATTAACTTACTTTTGAATAAGAATAAGAGAATAAATGACTACAAGCCGATCTATTACAAATTTTATTTTAGGACAGAACTTACTAACTTTTTGTAAGCGATTTCAAACTATAAAACAATGATAACAAAAAAAAACGAAAAACTCAAATTCTGCAACGAAGGCGGACTTAAAACCCCACCGCCCCGATTCCACCAGCTACTCGTTACCTCCCCGGGCTGCTCGCAGCCCGGGGCAACCAAGCGAAAGCTTCTATTCTGAAACGAAGGCGGACTTAAAACCCCATCGCGTCGTGAATTGATCTATTCTAATATCTGGCCACGACAACGGTTCCCTTTTCGTATAATAAATAAATCTTACATAAATAATGTAATGTAATAATGCAAATACAATAAATACTATTTCTTGACATTTAATTGATTAATTAATGATAGTAACGCTGATGGAAATATATGTTCGATTGTTTTTCAATATTATACAGTAATTTACTAATAAATAAGAATAAGAGAATAAAAGACAAAACTTATTTTAAGTATCTATACAAAATTTATTTTATGTTTTGCTTGCGTTTTTCGACTGAATATTTCTTTTTCTATTAAGTGTCAACTGGCAACACTTTTTCTTTGATGTATGGTGCTTTATATACTTAAACACCTTTTATTTGAAGTTAGAACTTACTAACTTTTTCAAGGCAATTTCAAACTGTAAACCCGACATAACAATAGGCGGACTTGAAACCCCACCGCCCCGATTCCACCAGCTACTCGTGACCTCCCCGGGCTGCTCGCAGCCCGGGGCAACCAAGACCGATACGTCCAGTCATAGAGAAATGATTTTGGTTGCTATGTTATTGTTTTGTTTATTATCTTTGTTTTAAAATTTTCTCTGTCATTAAGGATTATATTATTTTTATTAATAAAATACTTTATACGTTTACTCCACAATCCTTTATTTGCTACATTGTATATTTCCACAAAAACAACAGGTTATGGGCCCAGGCCCTATGTAGTTTTTCAGGAAAGTGGAGTGAATAAAACGTTAGAATCATGCAGAAAGAGTCAGTCATAACAAAACTAAAAGGTCATTCCAACTATGGAACATGGTCATTCGCTATGCAAATGATCCTAGTGGAACATGATTTATGGAATTGCGTAGAGGAAGAAAATATTGTTTTGACAGCAGACAATCAGAAGCGTGATGCTAAAGCACGGGCCAAAATATGCCTGAGCGTTGAGGAGAAAATTTACCCACTAATTGCTGAAGCAAAAAATGCTAAAGAAACTTGGTTAGCATTAAAGAGAGCATATGCGGATGCAGGTTTGGTGCGTCGATTAACATTACTTAGAAAATTGTTCAGCGTGAAACTAGAGAGCTACCCTAGTATGGAAGCGTACGTTACAGATATCCAAGCGACACATCAAGCACTCGTAACGATTAAAGCTGGTTTGGATGATGAATTTCTAAGTATAATAATGTTAGCTGGTTTGACAGATTCGTATAATCCGCTAGTGATGGCTTTGGAACATTCAGGAACAAAAATTTCGTCTGAGACCGTAATCGCCGCAATACTTAAAGAAGGGCAGCGACAAAGTCAACCAACGTATAGTGGGATGAATGAAAACAAGGACGAATCGGTACTAGTGTCGAGTTCTAATGACAAAAAGAAAATACAAAAACCTATAATTTGTTATTGTTGTAAAAAGAAAGGGCATTATAAGTCTCAATGTAAAAAATTGAAAAATAATATTGATGTTCAGCCGAAATCTTGTCTTGCGAATGACAACTCTGAGGAGTTTGTAACCTTTTTAACTAGTAATTATGAAAGTAATGATAGATGGGTTATAGATTCTGGTGCTACGTCCCACATGACATCAAATGAACACATTTTGAAACCAGAAAAATCTTGTGCAAAATTTATTACCTGTGCAAATAAAGACAAAATTGTTTCAAACAAACAAGGAACTGTTGATTTGAAGATTAATCACGAGGGACGTACCACAGATGTGAAAATGAGTAATGTATTGCTTATCCCTGAGTTATTAACTAATTTGATTTCAGTAAGCAAGATTGCTGAAAGTGGTAAGGTTATTATTTTTGATAAAAAGTGTTGTAAAGTTTTTAATGATACTGTTAATGTTATAGGTAAACCTCTTTTTACAGCACCACGCAAAAACGGGTTATATGTATTAGGTCCGGATAATAACAAGTTTGCGACAGTTCTTTTAGGTGATAGCAGTCGTAGTCAGGATGACTATGAGTTGTGGCACAGGAGGTTAGGTCATTTATCTTATCCTCAGATGAACAAACTAAAAGGTATGATTAAGGATATTAATTTTGGGAAGGTTGATAACAAAGTTCATTGTGTGGCCTGCAGCCAGGGAAAGCAGTGTGCAAAGAAATTTCCACATCGAAAGAAATGTAAGCGAGCAAACGATTTGCTTGAACTAGTACATAGTGATGTTGCCGGTCCAATTGAAACAGAGTCATGGGGAGGTGCAAAATATTTTCTGATCTTTGTTGACGACTACAGTAGAAAAGTTTTCTGTTATATGTTGACATCGAAGAAAGAAGTATTCAAATGTTTTCGTGATTTTAAAGCTTTTGTGGAAAATCAAACTTCAAAGAAAATTAAAAAATTTAGATCTGATAATGGTACAGAGTATACCAATAAGGAATTTCAATCTTTTTTAAAGAAATATGGAATTCAGCATCAGACATCTGTTCCACATACTCCAGCTCAAAACGGAGTAGCTGAGAGGACTATTAGGACGATCACAGAGAAAGCACGTTGTATGCTTCATGACAGTGGTCTAAATAAAAAGTTCTGGGGTGAAGCTGTCAACACAGCCGTTTATTTGAAAAATAGATTTTTTAACTTGTGATGAAATGAAACAAAACAAATGTCAATGTCAGTTCGATTGTCTTGTGTGTCTGTGGTCTTGTCGGTTGTTGGTTGATTTGTGTGGTTGGTCGTTTCATTGTCTTGGAAATTTAATTAAGTATTAATTAAAATAAGTGAAATGTCTAACGAGAACACTTTAGATTTACATTACGTTCATCAAAGTTTTCAAAGAAGTCTAAAAGAAGATGATGACGTTGTTATTGAAGCATATATAGATGGTTATAATGAATTAGTTAAGTCAGTGTATTTCTAATTGCATAAATAAAGTCCTTTCTCCATATGGTTGTTAAATGGTTTTTATTACCAGATAATATTTTCAGGTTCTTGAACCTCATTGGGTCTGTGTTTTCGTTCGTAAGTAGTGATGTTAAGAGCAAAATTAAGGTGATGGAGAAACACAGGGAAGGAGAAGACTCTGTTTATTATGAATCATTCAAGAAAATGATGAAGTATGAGAAAGAAACTAGCCTTCATGATAAAAGCGGCTTTGTGTCAGGTTCTAGGACGATGTTACGCTTACACCGAGGCTTGGGTATGAGTTTTTTATTCTTTAATTTCAATACCTTAAATGAATTTTTTTATACAAAATAATAGTGTCCAAATAAGCTGTAAAATAAGAGAACTACATATTTCTAATGGTTTTGCCATAGTCAAAATATGAATTTATAAGATCAAACACATTGATAGAAAAATATCACAAAATGTTCCCTTGATCTTGTAATTATACTTTTTTTCTATTGGACAAAATTGATAAACATGTGCATGCAACACTTGATTATCATTATGGTTTTCAAGTAATAAAAATTTTTTTTTTTATGTGCCATTCAATAAACACTTGTTACTATCTATCTCTTAAAATAATACGTAGTTTTTAAAAAAGTTTACAAAGACTACCAACAATAAGGTATCATGTACTTTCTATTCTATACTGTAGATAGAGAGGAATATGATATTACCACACATTAAAGGTTATTTTAATCATCATGCATTTCACAAAGGAACATCTAAACTCTTAGTAAATTTCTTTAGAAGTAATTATTTATTATTATTAGAAAATTAATTTGCTTTGTTATTAGTTCAGAATTATTATGACATAAACAATCACTTTTTTTTTACTGTAGTTGTTTGTATTCTAGACTTCATCAGACTGTTCCTGAAACGTCTCAGTGAGGCAGAAGATGGAATGAGCACTTGTGGAATGTGCCAGTGTTCGTACAATGAGACTTTAGCAGAGTTCCACCCCTGGTATATCAGGAAAGCAGCTACACTCGCTATGCATGCTCTGCCATCGAAACCAGATCTACTAAAAAAAGTAAGTACTTTTAATAAATTTTTCTTTACTTGTTGCACTATTATAATAGACAAAACTTATTTTTGAATTATAATATTACAAGTTTAACATTATAAAATTTTTGTATTGTTAAGACTGCGTGTTGTTGTTTGCCTTTGATGTATCCTAACAGAATATTAAATAATATATTGCAGTGTACAAAAATACTGGAGTTTTTGTATTGAGGACTCACAGTAATTAACGTAACAGGTGCTATCAGTTCAGCAATTTAATAATCTGACGTCATTGTTATCAAGAAGATAGTGTTATCAGTATTTATTGTCATGAAAATCCTAATTGTCCTCCACTAATCATGAAATTTTTTTTACACCATTTTACAATTTGTCGTACATAATTCTTCTTTATGTAGGATATATCAGACTTGTCTTTATTGTTGGAATGACTAAATCTTTCGGTCAGTTGCACAAACATCCACTAAGGTTTAAAGACGCCTTTAAGCTCTAATGAACAGCAAATTTATATGGTTAATGGTGCTTTAAACTAATGACGTTTGTGCATCTGGCTGTAAGTCATTATAATATCATAGGGTAATAACCCAAATTTTTCATGATTGGTACCCTTATGACCTTTTAGGAAAACTAATTTTACCCACCATATAATACCCTCCCTTACAAACCTAACTAATACTACAATTTTTTTATATCTTTCATTAATGCTGGTGGTCTTCTCAAAATCTTATATCTGGATTTTGGGATTTTGTTTTAGACATTTTGTATAAGGGGTTACCTCTAATAATGGTGATAAGCTTGTAATTATAAATAAAAATACACATATTTGTAGATATTTGGCTCGGAGGAACATTTGGTAGCAGCGATGACTGTCTTGCCTCAAACGTTGGGATCTTGCGATGAAGTGTACAGGCGAGTGCAACAGCTTTATACAGACTTTTCATTCCACGAGTTGCCATAAAATACATTATTAGTAAAATGTGTCAGAACTTTAGTTAGGTAATATTTGTCATTTGACTACCTATGCAGTGTTAATATATATGCATAATTATCCAAAAATCATAGGAGCATATGGAGGATATATGGGGCTGACTCTATATCAATAAGAAAGTAAATGTTTATGTCTATGATATCCTTAACTAAAATTGTTACATGTGTCCCATTTACAGCTTTGTATATTGCTTGTAATAATTACATATTACCAATGAAGTAGAGTTGTATACATTTATTATTTTAATCTAGTTACATTGACAATTCAATGCATTAATTCTATGTCAGTTCAATGATTCAAGGTCACCACACAATGAATTTTTAACACTAACTGTAAATTGGTTACAGACAAATGGGATTCATAATGTTATTAATATAAGTAGTTAAAACCTTATTTTAAAGTATATAATTATATCCATCCATTTGAAAATAACAAATAACATTTACAATAATGAAACTTCAACAGCGTTATTGTAAATTATACTTTAATTAATTATTCTATATCAGAATAAGCTTATTAATCACCGTGAGAAATAAAATTACACTGCCAATAAAAATTAGTAAAATAGTAAGTGTTGACTTGGTGCTTAGTTTACTATCATTTTTCTTAAGCATAGATTTACGATCTCCGGAGTCAATTGGCTTACACGTCGGTGTCTATGTATTCTTGTCAGCAGTGCTATTCTTTTATAAAAACAACATCGAACACATCATAAATGTTCAATAAAATAAAACCTACTTTACAAGGTAACAAAGGTTTTATTTAATTGAAGCTCTATGCTGTCACTGTGTGCTTGTAGTCGAGTTCGAGGTTGTTTTAAGAGAACAGTACAGGTGATTAAAATATAAATTATCTGTTCTATAGGTCCCAGTATTTATTATTAAAACCTTGCATGCCACAATTGCTATACATATGGCACTAACGATTGCGCCCCCATGCATGTAGCTCTTAAAATCAATTCACTTGACGTAGAAAAACGCTCAGATACTATTTAGTGGTATTTCATTATCAACCTTATCTCATTCAATTAAAGCTGGATATATATATTTATAACACTCATATATAATTTATGGCAAAGCATACTTCAAGTGATGTTTGACCATAATTGTATGAAACGTGATATCCAAACATTACTTAAGGTAAGTTCGTTTAACCATTAATTATATTACGTCGTTAGATCCTCAAGATTTATAAACGTTTTCTTACTATGTAGATGTTCATAATCGGTAGGAGAATTCAAATTTAATACCATTTATTCAGTCTAGGCTGTTACAAGCCCTTGTGAATGTCGAGGAATACATGTACAATAGTACATATACTAGTAATATTTTGTACCATTATCGTAGACCGTTTCCTTACATTTGACGCCGAAGATATTTTCGAATCTTTTTAGTTTTTTTAGGTACCTTCCTTTGTCCGCTAATGTTTAATTATCTTTTCTTTCCCCCCATTTCGGTTTTAAAACGTTATGTACGCAAGAAAAAACTGTTGCTAAACAAATGATGACGAAAATCGAATGACATTCCAAAAATGGCGATGAGGGTGTATTTTTTTTTATTTATTCTGGCTTGGAACCTAGTCCTTCTCCAGCCCTAAACATATAAAAAATATTACATAGTAGATATTTCAAATTTGAAGACTTTCAACAAAAGTTTGTGGGTGCGGTGTTACATTAGGAAATGGACTACATAGTAAGAAAACATCTATAAATCTCGAGGATGTAACGTGGTAATATTATTTCCAATTATGGAATCTAGTCCCATGGTCATTGGGTTCCAACTTAAATATCTAAGATTTTTAACTTATTTAGTCGATGCCAGCTGATTTTATATTGTAATAGAAAATTTTTAGGATTAGTTCTCAACTTTTAACATTTTAATTTAACTTAACATTAATTTAACAACAAAAAAAGGCAAAATATAGGCTTTTTAACAAGCCTATATTAAAGTACTATATCGCTATCATATATCAAGCATCTCTGAAAACAATTAACATTATCTAATCTATGATTATATCAGTCAAGGCGACATAAAGTTTATTCCTAATATATACATAAACAATGTTATTATGCTTAGACAATATATTAGTTTTTTTACCTCTTTTTTCAATATAATAATGGCGCTAGTTATTTTGAAAGATTTGCACAAATCGGAATGTTAAATTATCTATGGAATGCATACCGGTTTTGTGTAAATGCAAGTTACAAAAATTCATGTATGTAATCTATAAAATAAGTCATTGTCATATTTTAAGCTCTTATTTTACTAAGGATCAACTTTTTTTTTAAAACGCAAATTTTTATATCATATTACGTGCAATGAAATTATTTTTTATTGGTGTTATATTTTTTAGTGATTTATACATTTTCATCTAATAAATAAGTAAAACAATCAAATTCAGAAGAGGCTTTAGGCATTAACTTATAACATTATCATAAAATAGTTAACAAAGGTATATTACGCTTAAGTCCATAATAAAAAAGAAGTATTTCGTCTTGGAAAGAATGGTTACCAGTAAATATTATTAAAGTATATTATTCATCAGACCTTATATCATAAAGCTATGCAAATAATTTTAATATCTAATTAATGAAATATGTTATTCATTGATCTCATTTTCATTTCATTGATCTAATTAGAGTTTTATTATTAATACGTAAGGAATTTCTAGACTTCAGTTTAGTAAAAGTTAGAAATTAAAATAAAAAATCAGTGTTATAAATATTTTTTGATACTTAGTACGTAAATAAAGATTCCTTTGCCGTTAATGTAAAAAATAGGACATGCCACAAGTTGTTACCTAGGGTATGTTCCGATATACACTGCGACCACTGAACAGTATGACGTCAATTTAGTATACTGGAAGCCCGTTCCTTTATAGCTAGTTATACTGGTGACTTTTTAAAACGGAACGCAGTCCAGTATACTGTTAATCCTATTTTTGGCGCCATTTTCAAACTTGTTAATGCAAGGTGAATATAAATATAATATGTGTATATCGGAACGATATTAATATGTCTAGATACGCAATACATACCAAAAATCTGAAGCTACTAAAACTAAGACGTTTGTCTTAGTTTTTTCGTTTTGCACTTCATTACTCATTCAACTCCCGCCAAGAAAGTACAAAAAAAATGCTCCGTAAAAACAAAGAAAAACAGTAGATAAAATTCGATTCTCTTTCACAAATACACATAATACGAAAGAATATTAAGTTTCACACTTAAATCATTAACATTTTTGGCAATAAATACAAAATTAAAGCTAGGTTATAAAATAAAAATATTTAATTTTTTTCAAATAAAATTTCGACATTTTGTCGTCAGTGTTGCCACTGCTATTCACTTTCAATTTTCCCAAGTATATGGGAACCTTTTCTTTTTAATTAACGTGGCTATAATTTATCTAAATATCTTTTTATAATTAATTATATAGCTCAGCTTAAGTATAGGCAACTGCGCAAATTTTTTTATTCATGCACACAGATGCTAATGTGGTTTAATTTTTTCAATGCGTGGAATAATTCGTTAGTTGTCGAGATACAACTTTTGAAAATACGTAAAATAGTTTGTTTGATGTTTTATGAACTTTGACAAATGTTTTTGTCTTAACCACTAACTTTATCGAAAAACAAAGGGATATATATGCACAGAGCCTACTTTCGTAATTGTTTTTTTTTTCAAAGTTTTTGCAAACAAATTTTCAAAGTTACAGTATTTTACTAATTGATTTTATACATAAATCTACACTACTCGTTCATTCATTCATTCATCACAATGGGTGAAATTTTCGACAGCTGGCAATACAATATCAATTACCCATTTTTCCGTTCATTCTGTCGTTCGCGCATATTCTGTCTTTGTTTAATTTAAAGTTTAATCGTAGATATGAGGGAGATTAATATAATAAATCTATTTATATTATATAGTATAAATATTATTTGCAAAGCTACGTCCTGATTTCGGAAAAGTGCTACGCTTTTTGGCGCGTCTGTTGTATGGGATTGCTTCTCTAGTTATTAAACTAAAAGCAATGGTTTAGTAATTTAGTCGAAATTTGGACGGTTGGATTCCCAATTTTTGAATAAAATGAAACTACAATTACATTCGATTATATAGTATATTCAACACAAAGTATAATGGAATATAAAAACAAAATCAATTGACAAATCAATAATTAATTAAATCATCTTTTTGAGCTCATATTACACATTGTAAGTAGTTTATCTAGCTCCCATATTTATAGGAAGAGGAAACAAATATTTTCTTTATATTACACAGAAAAATCGCAATCTGCCTGCCATTCTGTAAAAATCCAAACTCGAATTCGAATCCATTTCAAAAAGCGGCATCCGAACAACCTCAAATTGGTAATAACATTCTGGGCCATAAGTGAAATGAGTTTCGAAATGACATAGGAATAGATTATCTGAGACACGTATATACAATCAATTTTATTTTGTATTTAAATACAATAAATGGAATCAGATACTTTTACCAAATAAACAAAAATTTGAATGAAGTAAAAAAAGGAAAATACTATTATTATTACCTATTAACAGTTCTTACTTCATTAATTCAATTCTCGTATTAGTTAAATATAATATTTGTTTAAGTTATGTTATTATGAGTTATGACACTTTCTCAAGTAATTACTACCCCCGACTATAGATACGAGTGTAAGTAATATATTCTAGCTCTAATTTAGTAGAATCAAGGAGTTTTCCGCTTATTGCTTGTGTCCGAACTTCACAGATAAAAAACACTTGTTTACTGAGCAGTCTAAAAGATTTCCTGCGTAAAAATATTCGAAAATTACTGCAAGTTTTAAAATGACAATTACATAATCCTATATTCTAAATTAAGTGTTATCACAATGATAATAATAGCTAATCATTATATCCTTAATTTTATACAGATAGTGTTCGTAAACGATAGGGTGTGGTTTGTCCACAATGTTTGGAGCTAGTATAATTTTTAATATATATAGTAATAAAGAACCATCACACTACGCATTTCATTTGCGATTAAATAGAATTATCGACATTAATTTGAAAGGTGTATTTGATCACTGACAACTTTGAAATAATTTCATAATTATCTAGGTTTTATTTGGAAAATGTTTCAAGACACATTATTACTATGAATTGTATCAGTTTTATACCAAAAAAGGGCCCACTCTGAAGCTAAACACGTATAAAGAAACTTCAATTCCAAAAATAATATGTCTAAATCTAAAACCAAATCTATCTCAGACCAAATGAGAAATCTATATTTTTAAATATAAAAAGATTGTTAACAAAATATTAAATGTAAATTTATAATTATATTTAAGCTCTACTACCTACACGTTAAGGTTTAAATGAAAATCAATTGGACTGTTTTGTATAATGTGAACTGAAAGGACCATCAATAAAGTTGCGCTTTAAGTGCAAAAAAAATATGTAAATACTAGCTTTTTTTTAAAATTTATTTAATCCAAGAATGTCACTCAAAACCACTGGAAAATTATTTAAAAATAGAACGTCAAGAAGCTTCACTTTGCTTTTTTACTAGCTTCAAAATCCAAAAAGAGGTGGTTATACGTTCGACGGCGGTGTGTTTTTTTTCGTATGGTCACTGATAATTCCACCAATTGTTTACCGATTTTCAAAACTTTTTTTATACGACAGCTTGATGAACCGAGGTTTACCAATTAAATTTTATCGAAATCGAATCGGTAGTTTCCCTTTTATAACAAAACAAAATACATTTTTTTAGTTGATATATATTGTATTTCATATATGTATTTCAGCGAAATAACAAAAGATTTTTTTTTTTATTTATTCAATATCCCAAAGGAGGATTTTCTTTGTTCAAGGGGTATGTACATTTTTTATGAAAGTAGGTATATCAATCGATTTTTTTCTTGAATTGTGAACCAATTTCTACCAAACTGTTTCCCCGCGACTTCACCTACGTAAATTAAGCCTATGTCCAACGCGTATTATGTAGCTTCCCTTAGATGAAAGACTTATAAATCGTTCAATAGTTTTGAACTTGTTTGTTTGCATTGGATAGCCAATGCAAACAAACAAGCAATCAAATCTTTCCTCTTATTAATATAAGTAATTTTATTTAATATAGTTTTACCTATTATATAAAAAAATAGAAACGACTTTAAACTTTAAAAAAGTGATAAATAAGACTTAGCTCAAAAGCGATTTCTTCAAGAAACTGCTATTAATTTGGGCGCCATTTAATTAATAAATCAACACAAGACCTCCGCTCGACTTCAATAGCATTTTCTTGAGTAAGTCGCTTTTCAGATATGATATGAATTTGATTTTTTAAGTTTTTCATAGTATTCTTAATGGAATTTCGAAAACATTTTGAATAGTATTTTAGTGTCAGAATAGGCCCCCTGGTTGGAATTCGATCTTCGTGGGTTTATTGCACATTAAAATTTTCTAATCTAAATTTATTCATACAAAAATTTAAACAACTTAAAAATAAACATTAAATATGTAATATACATTATTTACCTTCTAACTATGATATGAAAAAACTACTTGTTAGTACAATCCCTATGCGATTACCGCAGACTACAAATATTATTAATTTCATAGAATCATATCGTACCAAGTTAAATATTTCAGGAATATCATTATATATAAACCTAAGCTGAATAAATAATATATTAATTTAAAATAACAACAGTGGAACGGAAATATAAACGAAGACCAAATGCAATGGTTAAAGCAAACTAGTGATATTACTTCGTATATCGGTATCTCTTTAATATTGCCGTTCGCATCTAGAGATCGTTGTAAGATCATAGGGGAGTCTGTAGTCAAGTACATATATGAATACCTATTGTACCAAAACTCATACAACTACTATAAGTCCACGGGATTATTAGAAATGTTAACACAAAACTTATAATTAAAAAACACAACAATGTTTCTATTTTTTAATGATAAATATTAAGTAATATTGGATTTTTAAGATACAATAATTTCTTACCAATATGCGGTAATTCAATTTTCATATAAGACGGTCCAAAAATGGAAAATTTAAAATTTTATATCATCAATAGACGCATAACTTACATGACTAAGACTTTTATATATTCTTATTATGTCTCTATAATATTATTGCTAAAATATCGTATATGAGCATGTTACTCATTAGAATGCAAAACAGCCATGTGATTTTTATTTTAAAAACTTTTCAAGGCAGGCAGGGAATCGATGTAAAAAGGGAGGAAGGAGATTGGTGCGAAAGTGGATGTAGGATATTATTAGGAGATTGCAGTGAAAGGGGAAGTAGGGTAGAAACGAGCGTCTATTTGTCAGTATCCTTAAATCTTATATTCAATTTCTATAATTGACTGAGTTTCAAGTATTGATAGCAAAACCTGCACTATTGTAACATTGCCCGACTGACATTGAACAATGAGAAAGCCTCGTGCATGTAGCAATTCCGTAGACTTACAGAGATGGGTTTGAAGATCAACGAAAATTTTAAGCCTAATAGATCCTACCGACATTATTTTATAAGAATTAAGTTATATATATATGTATTAGGAATCAGAAAAAAAATTCGTTTCCAAATATTACAATTCGATATTAAAATAAAATATCATTTTGATCAATGATTTAGTCTTTCAACCATCGATAAGGTTTGGGGGCTCATGCTAGGAATTGTTACGAGGAGGGGGATCAGGGAGGGAGGCCGAGTCTCATGCCTGCGGAGGCTCGTGGAGGGGGTTGGCGCGGGGGAGGTGGTCCTCGGGGGAGGGGGGACGGGGGACCGGCACTGACGCGGACCCGCTACGGCTGGACGATGTCGAACTAGACGATGAAGAGTCACCCGGCTCTGTGTTGCTCGACTCTCTGTTAGATTAAGATTTTTGTTAAAACTTTGTTAAGTTTACTACTTATTTTGGAACCCAATTGTTATTGGGTTCCAAAATAAGTAGTTAAAACCCTCGTATTATGAAACAATGGCCCATTTTCCTTAATTCGATTCAATCCATATGGAAGACCTGAGGTTTGGGGACATTAATAGGTTGGTGATGATTATGTGTATGCTTTTATCACCAAAATAGATCATTTTTACATATATTGTTTAATGATTAAAAAAAATCAAGCTTACTTATGGAACCCGTTCGTCTGGCATGTATTGTACGCTCCACAATGTTGGCACTTAAGACCGACTACGTGGAACTTTACTGTTGACAGCTGCAAAGAAAGGTTTCCATCACTTTATAATATAGAAGAAAAATTTAACAGAACTAAATTCAGTTTTAGTCATATATATATAAAGAGATGGGTCCCAGCAAATTACCTTGTGGCAGTCCTTACAGAGGATAGTAGTCTTATAATCTGCGTATTCCGGCGGCATCGGCGTCGCTGCTACTTCCGAATCCAAATAACTCCACAGCTGTAAAAGAGAAACCTTGAAGCTTTTTGATTTCTAACTATGAAAGTACAGCCGACCAGTTCTGGTTTAGCTGTTGGAATTTGGCTGACGGTCGGTGATGGAACGATTTAGTATAGCGTTTGGTGATGCTTTTTCGTTCATCGTCTCCATGTCTCAAATCCTCTTCATAAACTCATTATCAAAAAAAGCAGGCAGGTTAAGGCTGCTATTAGACGGACTGCGTCGCAGCGCACTAAGCGCAGTCTGATCAACAGGCCTCAACTGACAGCTTAAAGTCATAATCACCATAAAAAGTGAACAACTCCAATGTGTCAAAATAAATCACTTATTCGTATGATCGCTTGCCGTCGCAGAGCTTGCTTGCTTGCAGAGCTCTGTCAACGATTTACTTCGGTTGTCCTCAGAGTTACAGAATAAGGGGGCAGAACCAGCGCACAGTCTCTATATTCAACTGCATGTTTCTATCAGCAATCGAATGTCACTTTGCACAAGACGCCTCTTTTCAGCTCTTTTAATCAGTGTAAAACTGTAGACGATTAGCGATGGATAGCATGTGTCAACACTTACAACACACTTAATGTCCGCATGAACTTGAAATCACAAAAACATCTAGCTAATTTGACCCCGCAGACACTTGAAAGAAGTTGGAGATCCAAATTGATATGGTTGCAATTGCTGCGGTATCAGTCCGTCTAATGGTAGCCCAAGGGAAACTCACATTAGTCATATCGATCATACTGGTCTGGCAGGTCGGGCAGGCGTAGTGGCCAGACTGCAGCAGTTGTTCGAAGCAGGGCCGATGCAGCAGATGCCCACAGTCGGGAATGTGGCACGGTATACGTGAGGTGTGGATGTCCTCCAGGCATACTGGACAGTTGGAACGGGACACGTTCTCAACACACTAGAATTATATACATTTTTATAGAAACCAATGCAACTTAGACCGCTAAACTTGAATTCCATAATTTCGTCTCACTTGCTTGAGTACCTACGTACGAAGGTAAAATTGTTTAAATAATAGTTATTTACGGGATTGTTGCTATGTATTTATATTCGATATTTTGCGCTTTTGCTATGATCATGAAATAACAGCTCAAAATATCATGAAGTGGATAAAAATAGTACCTAGCCATCACGTAAATAGCTCATTTTAATCACGACATATATTCATTTTTTATTAAAAATAATAATGAATCACTGAAATCAAATATTTTTTAATAGATAAGACAGACATTACAATTTTTTATTTCTATGTGTGGAATCTTTTTTCCTTAGTCACGTCAGAAAAGGATGGGCAAACCAGTAACTTATGCGACCACTTCCAAATAAATATGCTTATATAAACCATGCCATCCAAACTTAATAATTCAATAATAATACAACTCAAACATAAATATTAGTCGAATTACCTGATTTGTTTCCATGCCGGTAAAATCCTCGACTTGAGCGTTCACTTGGGATGTATTTTGATTAGTTTCATTATTTCTTTTGGACCTGATAGAACGACCACAAGTAACACAGATACCACTATTTTGATCCATATTAACAATTTGCTCTATATCTTTAAGTACGAAAAGTCATTCATTATATATACAAGTCGAACATTATCCCATTGTCAAGGAATAATCAGTGTTCAAACAAAGTAAGCTAGGTCGTAAGATCTAAATTGAACATACTGTACGCAGCTGGACATCATGCGTCAGAACAAAATGCGAGAGACAAGTAAGATGTTACCAGAGGAAAGGACTGACATTAAAATACGGTGCAGGGTTTGAATACAAAGGGTGGGGGTTGCAGGTAGATAAATGTCACTTGACAGGCTTTAGAGCAGCAGATAAGAAACTGTCTTTAACAATAAAACCATTGTTTTGAAGAACAAAAGATGGGCAATTGATCCTCCATAGCTTTTTAGACAATGAAAACAGAAATAGCGCCCATAGTAAAATATGATCAGGCATTTGCATACAATAATTAAGAAGTGACCACAAAAGACTTTACTACCAAACCATATACAATTATTAGTTTTTCAATATCTGTAATCTCTGTCTCATGTCAAACTTAAAACCAATCAGAGTGCGTGACGTCAGTCGTGGGTGATTTGATAATAAAACTATTTAGAAAAAGCGCGGGAGACATTCAAATCGTAATATAATTTATAGTAATTTACTACATGTTTTACAGATTCTGAAGCTCATTTGTGTTTTTGTATATAAAAATGTATTTTATGCTACTAAATTATTTTTGTTCAAATTTGTAGAAATAAATCATGTCACATTCTCTTTGTTGTCATAAAAGTAGCTTTGTAAACAGTTAAATTTTATTTAAGGAAATAAGTATGTTGGGCTTTACATAAAATTATACTTAATATCCCACAAACACTGATATTTATTAGTTTCAAACACTTTTTTGAAAGCTATACCCTATTATACAAGGTGTATGGACCAATACAATTTCTTGCAGGATTTAGATGATCATTAGCTATGTTATAAGCCTCATGTAAAATGTCACGATTGTTTAAATTTGTTTCTTTTTCGTTATTTTTTATCCCAAAATTATACTTTAATTTTAATAATTTTTGTCTATTTTAAATCAATCATCATTAAGACTATAAAAGTTACTAAGTTGACATTAAAAATGAGGGACATGATTACATATATACTAAACAGAAATGGGTTAAATAAGATTGTGTTATAAATAACTAAAAAAAAGAATATTACCCTATGGCCAACTCTCTGTAGCTGGACAGGCAGGCACATATTGCATCGCTCACAATGGAAGAAGCGGTCGCGTCCACCCACACGACAAATACCACAACCATCACAGTGGTATTGTCGTTTATCTTCATCATCGAATAAGTTGCATAACAGACATGTATACTGTGGGTAAAATATGTTTAAGGTTTAATATCATTTAAGTTAATTGGTGCTCAATCTCAAAACGTCTACACATCATGACATATAAAGTTGAACCATACACATTAGTGTTTTCATATCTCAATAGTTGTTGACTAGTAATGCAGTATAGTTGTTGACTATGTGGATGTAAAAGCATCATTTTGGTTCAACTTACAAGTCTCATATTATATTTGCATCTTCATATGCTACAATTTTCTAAATTATGGGTAACAGATTTTCAAATATTTACTTATATAACTTCACAATTTTAAAAGGCTACTTCAGCAACTAGAGCTAGATAATTCCCTATTGTGTGTATGAGTATCTGCATTACATTTATTTATGTAGCAAGTAAATTAAACTGTAATTTTTTTAAACTATTAGAATCTAAACATATACCTTTCCAAATGTGACTCCACAATTTTCACATTTTGCCTGAACTTTCTGTCGTGTATCGCATTCTGTGCAAATCAACTCAGTAACAGACTTCCTGTTGAAGTAGTGTTGTTCTTTCTCATCGTGACAGTAGCGACACATATAAAATTTGTTGCAGCATGGTGTCTGAAATAAGAATAAATTGTGTTTACAAATTGAAATCTTTTGATCCATGTAGAGAACTACTTCATTTAAACCTTAATGTGTTGCCAGCAGAGATCAAAATAAAAGTGAAAATTTCATTTATATTGATGGGTATTATCATTATTATATTAGCTACAGTAGTTTAAGGTAATTAATTTTAGGTCACCCATCTCATGACTGGCCTTTGTGAAAGTTGATTGACCTGTACAATCACAGGAAAATTTGCATGCACTATCCATCTCCTCAAGGTTACTATAACCTTAATCATTTCATGTTATCTGTGCACAAGACTCTAGCTATAAAGCATACAAAGTCTTATCTGTAAATAATATGACAGCAGTTAATTCCACTAATGTAGTGTCTTTGTCTTCAAAATAGGTCTTTGTTCACAGTTGCCGAAATAAGAAATCATTCACACGCCGAAATTGGCGGTTCATTGACATGCGTGGTTTGTTTTTGAAATCGCTCTTCTACGTCGTGTTTGTATTATATATAGCAAAAGAAAAACAGGAAGTATTGAATTCCGGTGACTATGATTAATTTAGAAATAGCTCATAATTAATATTACTCACCACAAATTTGGCTCGACGTTTGTAATGAGCACAACCAACTCGTTTCTCGCCATTTGATTCAGTCGTAGTGCTGTTATCACCGTTGATTTTTTCTTCCTCTGTAGACATCTTATATGATATTCGTAAGTAATATATATACTCATACAAGACACTCTTAAACAGATTGAAGTAATAAAATCTAAGAGTTATATATTTTGAAAGAATAGCAAGATCACCTAACAATCCGTTACAGCTGGCAGATTTTACTTTAACACAGCATCTAAATTACAAATAAATAAGGTCAACACAAGGCAGACAGACGAAAGGCAAGCAAATAGATTTGACATTGACTGTTGACACTTGACAGGACGGTTGACGTTTATTAGTGACATATCAAATGACATTTTTTTACTAATATATTAACGGCTACGGTAGTATCCATACAGCCCTACTATAGTGATTAACAAAAAGATGTTATGAACCAATAATCAAAATATAAGATTCTTCATTTCTTAAAAATCAATCGCTTTAGCAAAATTGTGGCGTTGGTTAATGAGAAATTATTAAAAAAAAAAACTAGTTCCCGAAATATAACTAGATATGATTTCTCCATAACAACCTTTCCGGTTTTCTTTCATGTTTAAAAGTAAATGGAAGGAAGTATTAAAAAGAAAACATTAGTTCCCGAAATCAAACTAGATGTCCTACCTTTCCAATTTTCTTTCAAGTTTATAAGTAAATTAATTTTCAAAACTCAATAAACAACTCATATTCTATTTGTACTTTTTCGCATTTGTATTGATATCTAAGTTTCGAACTTTTCAAATTTCAGTTTTGAAATTTAAAAAGTTCGAAACAGAAATGACTGTTTGGTCCATTCGTTTCCTGCAAAAATGTACTTTTGCTAGCGTCGCCATCTAGAGGAGGTGCTTTTTTAGTGCTTTCGTTTATTTTTAAATACTTCCTCATTACTGCGTTATATTGTTTATATTGAGTTTCGGTTCGTAAAGTAATTTTTCAATGCAGTTGCTCATAAAGCGCTATTTTTTTAATCCATTGTAAACACCGAAAGTGAGTCTTCAAGCACGTGTTAAATAAAAATGTACTGAAATCCTTTACTGCACACGTGCTTAAAAGTATTTTCTTAATTTTTTTTGGCTAAGAAATTAAAAAAAAATTGATGAAAATATGTCAAACTTTAGAGGCAAAAGTATTTCAAGGAGCCTAGAACGAATATTTTCAAATAAAAATGTATGAAAAATGTTGTAAGAAACTTGAGCGTAAAAGGTTTTTCGTATTCGTGCCGATGAAAATCTTACTTTCCGCACTCGTATCTTAAATAATTATTATTTTTGCGAGATAAATGTTATGAAAGTGAACAACATACATGATGTAAAGAAATACTACGATGTATAAAATAAATATTAGACAACATATATCTATGTCTATGATGCGTAGTTTAAGCCATTGTGTTTTGGAGTATCTGAGACGGGAAGGTACCACAACTCTCAGACCCCATACAAGTTCATTTTCCGAGAATCATACCTAGGACCTTAGAGATGTCACCATCTCGAAACCGGCGTACGGATCACTTATCCACGGAGGTCGTCAAAGCATACATTGTAAATAATTTTGTTAATTTAGAGCGAGAACACCTCTTCCCTGTTGACTTCTCTGCAGTCCACAAAATATATATTTCTTGACTTTGCTTCTTTCAGTATTTTTACATTTTTTTTTTATAATTTGCTTTGTTGTCAGAACAATATTTCGGTTGCATTATACGTGTGCATCATACATAGACTATACAATGGATGACATCATAGAGAAAAAATATCTTGGCATTTTTGGCGCATGATTTCAAATTTGAAAGTAAAAATATTTCTAAAAAAAGTTTCTAAAAGTACACAAATAACAATAAATCGACATAATTTACAATACACATATTTATCTAAGAGTAGATATCAACGGGAAAATTATGAAAGTTTTATTCTTTACCACTATTTTATTTTGTTTCCTTCAACGGGTCCTGCTTTTGATACCACCGAAATTTCAATGGAAAACTATAGATTTTGCGTGGGATGGTGATTACAAAAATATAGCGTTAGCCTCAGGGGGATATATAGCTGAAAATATTATGCCTTCTGGCTTAGCGAGATGGAAAGACAAGTTATTTATCACCATTCCTCGATGGAAGAAAGGTCTGTTTAATAAATTGTAATAACAGTACATATACTTAGGGACTTCGAAATATGTCCGTCCCATCGTAACCTATAATGTGAATTAAGAGATTTACAAAGCTCGTTCATTTTTTAACTGTAAGTACCAGTAAGTATCATATAATAATGATTTAAGCGACCCCCTAATACTGGCGGCCGGGGCAAGTACCCCCTTTAGATCCAGGCTTGGTAACTGAGCACATAAATGCTCTACTCTTGTATTAGTTATTGTATACAGCTTGTAAATTAACGTAGGACCTGCCTATTCGTGCGTGAAGAATCTGCATCAAAATCAATGAATCCGTGTTGTCCGGTGTCGTTGATAAAATATTCTGCAATACATCATAATATAAATAAATATGTATACAGCTTGTATATTTTGTTACCCATTAATAAAGGAGTTCCTTGCTCCCTCAATTACGTATTCCTGAATGGGAGTCAATGTGAGCTTCTGCACCCATATCCCAGTTGGCAAGATGCGTTCATCCTGGACAATGCGGAGGTCATCAACAGCAACGCTAGTGTTGTGTCAGCGTTCAGGATGCATATCGATAATTGCGATAGACTATGGGTAGTCGATAACGGAGTCGCTGATATGTCAAGTGAGTACTGTTTAGATCGACTAAGTAACTAGCCAATAAAGAAATATATATTACGAGCTATATAGCGAACTTTTAACTGCTTGTTTCTATTTCAAAGTAGTTATAATATAGCCTGGTTGATAACGTAGCTTTATATTAGCGAAATATAAAAAAAAAAATTCAGTATTTTCCGAATTTACTTATTTATTAAAAAGAAAGAAATAAAATCTTTCTAATCCATACTATAGATCAGCGGTTCCCATCCGCATCAGGTTGAAAATAGGTCCGTCAAATATTCCCTTAGACATTTTATGTGAATAATTTGCATTTATAATTTTAATGAGATATAATTCCACATTTGTCAATAGCGGACGTGAAACAGATCTCGGAGCCAGCAATCGTGGTGTTCGACTTGAACAAAAACTCTGTTATACGTCGGTTTGATATGACTGGTGATGTGTTGAGAGACTCATCAGTTCTCACTAGTTTGGTTAGTTTGTCTTTATTATTAATTAAGCTTATTAATGTGCCCCTTCTGGAGAACAAACCTTCATCAGGGCTGGTCCGTCCTCGTATTTGGGGGGCAGCATGGCATGGCAAACTGATTATGTTTGCCCTAATTATTTGAACCTTAAAATGCAGTACATTAAAAAAAACGTTTGTCTTTAAAACATTTCTTTTTCTTTCATTTCCGCGATATTCAAACATATAAAATGTTGTGACTAGCGGTAATTACTGAAGGAGTTTCTTTTATCATTGACAAAATAACATCTCTTTAACCGGTGTATCTACATTCTTTCTTTTAGTTTTGTCGTGGTTTTTTTATGGGCGTCGTTCAAGTGTTTTGCCTAGGGTCTCAAGTTTCATTGAGCCAGCGCTGACCTTCCTCGTAGATAGAAACACAGGTGAATGGGAAATAATCTACCCACCATGCGGGCCTAACATGGACTGATGGGTGATAACGATTACAGAGCAGTCGGGACTAATGCCATAACGTCCCTTTCAAAGAAGTTATAGAGTTCCAAATAATATATTTTTATCAACCACTTAACAAATGGCCTATGCGGAAGTAACATAACCTCAGCTCTCATCTGATAAGTTACATTCACCGAATGCGTAAACCCCTGCAAATAAAACGCAAATATTATAGCTGAAACTGATCGATGCAGGTAGTCGACTTCGTAGATAAATCGTGCGATTCCGACAATGTGTACGCTTATATCACCGACATGGGCTCCAACGCTATCATAGTGTACAGCTTCAAAGAGAACGAGGCTTGGCGGGTCGAGAATCATTACTTTCATTTTGATCCTCACGCTGGGGTTTATAAAGTCGGAGACATTGACTTTTACGGGAGCGATGGGATATCTTCTGCAGCGTTATCACAAGTGAAGAACGATGGGTAAAATACTATATTGTACTAATTCCGTAAATCAGATATAATTTTTAGTTTTATAAATAGGTAACAAACAAATATGTAACTGTAATAAAACTTCTTGATTTAACCACAGCTTTACACTGCTTCGGATACAAGTCTTCAAACCACCGCGTTTCGAAAAATAATGCCCCAAAACTGGCACAACATCCGTTTTCGGACAAGTAAAATTATTATAGAGTGCAAATTAAGCTAGCTATACTTATAAAATAAACGGAGTGGTCTTATTTGTAGAAATTTAAGTTTGTTTCATAGTAACACTAACTGTTAAAGACTACCGCACAATCGGTATCTAAATAGAACTAATATAAGATTTTTTCATAACGTCTGGGTTCGACTCTCAAACTGAGAACTAGCTTTTTAAATATGAGTGTAGTATTTCTTTTCACTTAAATCATTGACATGATTCATAAAACGGATCTTCGTATATCTTAGTTTTTGACTTTCCGGCACTGACCGTTCTTAATGTTACACAGGATATACAGGATATCAATTATGTTAATATTTTATACGAATTCGTATATTGTAGCTACCGGGATCTATACCTGCATCCTACATCCAGTACGAAGCAGTTTAAAATGTCCACCAAACTGTTGAGGCACAAAGATGCGCCCACGGAGGATATATTCAATGGAGTTGTGGTAATCATTCTTTCTTATAAGAAGTTTTTACTGCATTTTTCTTAAAAATATATTAAAAAAAAAAGAGTAATTTCATGTTTCTTTTTCTAAGTAGGTCTGGGGATAAGCAAGTAGTATTGAAATTATGAATGTATTAATTTTTGATCTAACATTTTAAATAGTGCTGTTATTTATAGGTAGTGGGAGATAAAGGTCCATATTCACAAGCTTCCGCATGCGATTTTGATAAGAAAAATAATGTACTTTTCTTCACAGAGGTGTGTTTAATATTATTTTTTATAATATTATTTTTTATAAGTATGAATATTCTAAATTTATAATATGTGACGGCATAACATATCTGCTTTAGAACCAAGCAAAAAATACTAATCAGATTTTGGGTTCATAGTACTACAATTGTGATCAACGGATACAGGTATGCAAAAATGCAATCGGATGCTGGAATATTGACAAGCCTTTTACTCCTGAAAACACACCGACCATCATAAGAGACTGCAATTTATTGGAATTCCCCAACGACGTCAAGGTTTTTATAATTCCTCTTATTATATTAAAACATCTAATTCATTGAGCGAAAAACGATGACAACACAGGTGCCGTTTAGGCGTGTATTTTTGTAGAAAGAGAAATATTTAAATCCAATTAGTATAATATATAAAATTACTAGCGGTACATAATGTAGAGTGTATTACATATGACTTAGAGTATTAATGTTCATAAGAAAAAAATTAACTTATTTCTGGACCTACACTTAGGTGGATAATGAGGACAATTTATGGATCTTAAGCAACAGGCAGGCACGATTTTTGCACGGTCATCTTGACCCGGCGCAAGTCAATTTCCGTGTACTGTCTGCACCGGTGACAAAATTGATTCAAAACACCCCTTGTGAGAGACTATCATTACTAGGACGCGCTTGGAGTGTACTCGGATCCAAAAATAATTGTGGCAAGAGTCAATAGCTAACATGACGTTCGGCGTATATTAGGATCTGTGCTTATCTGATGGTGGATGCGTCGCGGAACGTCAGAACTCACAAAATATAAATATGTCATTCATACTTCCGTGATACGTGTGACGGATTTTTCGTCAGATTTGCATAGACCTAAAGTAACAATTTTAATACAATGTAATTAGAATATGAAAATGTGTTATTGAAAAAAAAAAATCATCGATAAGTTTAAAATGTCGATATATTGCTCGACACTAGAAACAAAGCGGTTATAGGTATTGAAAACTATCCATTCCCTTTAACAATCATTGGATAGTGAACAAAAACGCAAGGAAATAATTTAAATTTTTATTTAAATATACAACATGGTAGTTTATAATTACTATTTTATTTTATTAAAAAGTCTATGTGATCGAATAATTATAATATTTTTGCACGTGTTATCGCCACCGACAGACGTTCCCTCGTATATGTTTCGTTCAGATTTATAATCTCAGTCTTTTGATAACACATTTTAGTTCATTGTGAACACGCCCTTGTCATGAACGTTTATTTATTAAGATGGACATGTCCATACAAATTTGATTTATTGTCTATATAACATTTTCTAGTATCTAACATGATATCTAAAAACTGTAACAATAAATTATTACCGATTTCTTTGTCTTTTTTACATTATTGTAGTGATAGAAATGACATAATTTATAAATAAACGTTTCATACTAAATGCAATTGTATAACAATTCGTATTTTATAAATAAAAAATTACCTTCACTTTTTTTTAACACAAATTTTGAATAATTATGTTCTACTAGAAAACATAATGGACGAACATACTCATTCAAAGTTTGTAATCCTGATGCAGAGTTGCACACAAACAAATATTATAATGAAATTACTCTTGTTACATAAGTAAATAAAGTACATGAGTTCTTTTTGGTACTGTGTACGATTATTGGACGTGATAAAAAGTTGCGGGTAGAAGTTAAAATATATATAATATAGAGCGACAAATTTATGGCATCTGAATACATATGCTGAAAGATTTTTTAATAGCTTCAGGGTAAATTTTAGGTAGTAGGACTATAATAACATTACATTGTACAATCCTAATCGCAAATTAATAAAAATGAATATATGACATAGAATTATCCATAATATTCTTTCTGATCATATCTCTCATCTATCAAGCAAACGTGGCTTTAAAATATAGATTGTTATTGCTGATAATTTTATCACGAGGCCAAACCCCCAGTGAAATTTAAATAATATTTATTAGTTATTAGTTGAATATTTTTAATTAAACAGAGTCAGATATTGAAATAAATGAAATACAGTGCCAGATTAGATTGCTACATTTAACAAAAATTATAATTGTTACGTGCCCCAGTACAATATATTTGAGCCCATAAACAGTGACAAGCCCATTCACCTTTTGCTGGGCAAATAGGTAAATCCTATTACAACAAAACGAGTTGCGACAGGCAGTCAATAATTATAAAACACTCAATAATTCTTTGATTAATCATCCTTAAGCATTAAGAATATAAAATATGATATATATGATTTTCAATTTAAGAGACCAAACTAAAGTCTTGAAATATTTGCTACAAGTCCCGTGCTTGCTTAATCCGGCACTGGTTAAGAAAAATACAAGTAAATTGAATTAGACTATGAAAATCAGCAAAAACTTCGTTTGTAAATAATTTATTATATAAAAATTGTAATATAATACAAGGTTTAATAATTTGTTAGGACATGCCCATATCGGCTGCACCAGCTTTTCTTTCGTCAGATTTTAGTGCTATGCGGGTGTTGATCATATTTACTGAAGTTATATGTTTAGATGAAGAGATCTTAATATTTACAAGTAGTTATTGCTTAACTTCGTCGTAGGCCATAATTTAAAGGAGCTTGTTTGAAACGGAAAATTATACACTAGAAATTGCGCGACAGTTTTGGAATAAGCGACTAGTCTTTAAGAAATAGGAAATTGGGGCATTATTTAGGTTTTCATTCTACATAAATAGATAGATTAAAATATTTCTTTGAATAAAACCAATAATCCATGTTCAATTTTGGTACGAATATATTGGAATAAAATTTTTGATTTCTTTTTATACAAATACCTTTTCAAAATCATATCGAAACTATATAAGTTACTTTCAAATTGTAAGTTCAAAATTAAAACCTGTCATTAGAATAATCTCATTAGCGATCGATATCCGCGCGTTAATTATAAAATATATATGGCAATAGACTTTAGTCCTAAACCTGTATCTAAGCTATAAACATTTGGTGCGTGGCGTGATACGTCACAGAATTAAGAACTGTCTATCTATCCTACAAGGTTCGTTGGTTGTGGGATTTTCTACCTTAGGGCGTTAACAATTAAAGAGTCCATGCACAGTGGTTGGTGCATTATCTCGTGTCCGCGCTTTCTGACTGTTTGTGTTGAGGCGTGGTTTTCGGTTCTAGTCTTTTCTTTAGCGGCGTGTTGTACTCCCAGCCGTCTTCGCCTTTAGGGCTGAAGAGCTATAAAAAAAGCACCTCGAACAGCACTTCTGTGCGCTACGTGTAAACAGTGTTTATACTATAACTCATTAGCTCGCTTATTCAATATCTACTTATGATACGAGTATAATATCATATGATATAATATCATTAGTAGGGTACTATCCTACTTATTTTTTATACTTATATTAAATAAGTCAAATATATTATTAAAAGAATTTTATTTAATAAATAAAAACGCCTTTTTTTTTGTATTGTGAATATATATGTGTTAATTAAAAAAAAAATCGTTTATGCATCTCAAACGTTAATAAAACTAAATGCAAACACAATGAAACCGTTTAAATGTTGTTTCATTTATGTATAGTGCGTGTGAAAATATAAGAAATCAATAGAGATTTTGATTTTGAGTCATTAACTCGCATGACTTTCTTATAATTAAAAGACTATAGTTTATTGTATGTGTGTCACATAACTTGAAACGCAACCCGCCATTGTGTGACGTCACTCTGGCGACAGCTGTCAGATTAGTCGTGAACAACGCCTATTAATTATACATCAAATTTCTGGATGGCGCTGTTCGTAACTTATATCTTTCTATTTAGTAATCAACCGTTAGATGGCACTCTTCTTGTTTTATTGACATCTTTTAATCTACTACAATGTGCATCTGTTTTGTATACATATCTGAATGACTTTATGAATATATCGGACATCGTTTTCGGGGTATAAAATAAGTTTATATTTTGATTTAGTTTTAAGGCAAAAAAATACATTCACTTTAGATTCACTTTAAGTATTTGTTTTATAGCTTATTTAAAATAAAATAAACGCTTAAAAGCAGGTACTATTTCAAACAGAGTAGAATACCCTATTGACGAAAAATGCGTTATTTCGGAGCAGTATTACCATTTCAAAATCGTTTTCGGAGAAAAAAAAACTAGGCCTTCACGTGTCATGTTAATTCGCACGATCAGTACACAGTATTATCGACTCACCCCACTATCAGTCCATCGGCCATCCATCCTCGTGTTCCACTCCCCTTGCGCGGTATAATAGGGTTTCTTATCGGCGCCCGCGAACACTTCGCACGTGACCCTGTGCTTCTTACCGCCATAGAACGGTTTAGTTAGGAACTCTATGTTGGCCCGGTGACCGGTCTGTATACACTCTATTACTACAGAACCGCCCAGTTCTATCCATGGCACGGTCAATATTGATCTGTAAATTGTGAAAATTAGGAAAAGTTGAAAAGAGACCACATACTTAATTAGTAGAAGTGGTGATGACCACTTCATTAAACCAATCTCCATCTACATCAACAATTTCGCTTATGGTCTTGCGACCGATCGCAAAGAGCAATGTTAAAAAAATATATTGTTATTAAGTTGATAAGGACAGGGGGGTGGGTGTAATGCTCGCTTTCACTAAACTTGGTAGTCGCTCAAATCTGGCACCTAAATATTTGGGCATTGTCAAATGTGAAAATGCGTTTCACCAATGACAAGGAGCTACCTAACAAAATTAAGAAACGCTTAAGGACATGCATTAAGCGGTGCCTTACGATGGGCATTTACGTAATGTGACAGATACAATGACAAGTTGGGTACTATAAATTTATTTTTGTTATTGTCTCTTTACGTGTAAAGGCGACTAATGTGACATTGGCGGTATTGTGTAAATGCAAACAGGCTATACATTAAAAAAATAATAAGAGCTAGAAATGTAAAATAATTACCTAACTAAGGTAAGGCATTACCTAATCTTGCAGATTTGGTGAAACGACAATTCTGATTATGCTATTTTTAATATTAATTAATATATAGTTAATATAGATTAAGACATAGGTCTTGTTCTAGATTAGTAAAAACGGGCTTAAGTTTCGGAATGTTGGGGAAACTTTTTGGCAACAAAAAATTAGCTTATAATTGGAACTCGCTATGCTTACTGCATATTCCTGATTCTAACGTAAAGATGAAAGTGGGGATTAGATACGTCATAGAGATAAAAGAGAGAGAGAAAGTGAGAGATATAACAAACCTGCCGTATCCATTAGGGAATGTCAACGTATACTCCTCTCCGAGATCTAGCAGGGTGACGGTCCCCTTGCCTATGTTATGTACACCGATCGATAGACCAAGGAACTTGCTCTTGGTCCACACCCACGCCTCGAACTGTATACGTTTGTTCACGTGCTCAGCGTAGAAAGCGGATATGGGCGGATGATGGGAGACTTGTTCGGCTACGAATGATAGCTGGTCAGCTGTACACCATGGCACTGGGCCATCGCCCACTTCCTGCGCAAAATATATGTTTACATTAAACGGAGTTAAAGTAGATGAAACTTAATGGTGTAGAGGGGTAGGGTTGTAGATAGACGCGGTTGGCTCCTTGGATGGGTCTCCCACGCCTCCGTCGTGGGCACATCTAGAGTTACGGCCTATACCCATTATGGTGACATATCATATAGTCCTGCGCGAATAACAGTGTAGTACCGGAAGGTATTTATGGTTCCGGAGCTTGGTGACAGGCAATTTCCTTTTAGTCTTCCTTATCAGTTGCTAATTATAATAACAGTTGCTAACTAATTAAAACCATAAACACTTTCCCAAACCTACAAGAGTATTGCGAGGAAGGCCCGAGGGTTAACCCATAGGGAAAACTCTAGGAAGCCTAGGTGGAAGGGCCGGGTAATACTCTCCAAACATACGGATTTAGGGAGAATGTGTGTGTGTGTAGCAAACACATATATAGTAGTGTAGCTGAGACGGCGTTATGTATACCAGATAGAGTAGATGATTATTAGTGTTGTAGAAGTAATGTAGGTGAGTGAGTGGTATTGGTGAGTGTAGTTAAACCTTACCTTTTCGCTGGTAGTAGCGACCGCCTGTCCTTCTGGCGCGTCTAAATCCCAATGGCAGCGAAACACTTCCCCCAATATAGGGTTATAAGGTTTCTTGGCCACCTGAGACTTGCGCCCGGCGTGATATGAGCTCAGATACCATCGCACCACTTGAATCATACGGTCTTTGGGTGTTGGTTGGTCTACTATTCTGTTACCAATAAATTGATTTGTTTATGATTATGAATACTGTGTAAGATATTTATTTATGAGGTGCTTTACTTTATATTTTTCTAGTCTGTAACTTGTGGTGTGTTTTTATTGAAAATTTGATTTTCTTTCAAGGTATAAAAGAAAATACATAATTATCAAATATATTAACTATTTGGAATTTGAGAAATGTATGTGACATCTTACTTAACGAACTGGTCCGGGTGTGCGAACGAGTCCGCGTACATTTCGAGAAGTGATCGCCTTTCCAGAATAAATGTGGGCAGCACAACCTGTGAACAAAGTGAACTTTACTCCCTGACATTAATATTAGGGGTGCGAACTGTTCTAAAATGTTGTGTACGTCAAAGGTAGAAAAATCTGAAAACTTACAAGACTTTGCTTTATTAAGGATTATACAATTAAAGTAATTAAAAGTAATTTTTCACCAGCCTAAATATACAAATAATTTCTAATTTATTTTTAAAAATTCGAGTTTTTTGTTTATAAAATCACACCAATCTTATCTTATCGTGAATATCAATTATTAGTTTGTAGTAATATGGAAGTGGGCGCTGACTTCTGTCACTCAGGTTGTACCTTGCACAGAGGTCAGAGACTTCACATTGCCTTGTTGTATATTTATATGATACTAAAAAGTTGTTATTATTATTATTAATTTAATAGACACAATAATTACTTGTATGGAACAAATTATTAAATAAAATATTATTGAGAGATTTCTTCAAACTGTTTATTCGTTACCAGGCACTACATAGAAGAAAGTATACAACCCAAAGACTAACCTAAACATAGATACCACGTGATACGACGTTATAAATTTATATACTCTTTCCAATATAATTGAACAAGAACAAGCACCAAAGGGAATAAATAGTTTATGTATACTCGCGTTATGAGACTCGCGTCAAAGATTTGTCGTATGAATTATTAGGTATATATTAAGTATTGCTGTATAATATATTAGCTGGCGCTGGCGGAACCGCTCGCGTGATCTAGTTTTAAGTCCAGAACTGAGGAAATTCCATAAAAACTTTCATCCTCTAATTTACCCCCTTAGGGGTTGAATTTTGTAAAATCCTGTCTTAGTGGGCATCTTGAAAGTTGAAACTCCTAGCAGTTGTAGTAACGAAGTTTCATATAAATATTCATCCCCTAATTTATCCCCTTAGTGGTTGAATTGCGTAAAATCCCATATAAGTGAGCACTTATGTCCTAAAAAGAACCTGTATGCAAAATTTGAAACTACTTATAATGCAAATATTTAATACTTATAGCACTTGTAGTTTCTGAGATTTCGTGACGAGTGAGTGAGTGACCTTTTAGCAGAAATAATTAATTAATTCAAAATCAATATCATCCATTATATTACGAGCATTTGTCATAGGAGAAAGCAGTTCATTGGTAAGGGCTGATTTTTCTCTCTGTTTTATTTAATACATTCTCTGTATCCAATTTGAAACAAATTCACTAAATCCTACTTATTTCATTAACCCTTTTACGGAAAAACTTCTCAACGAACTATTCGAACGAACGAACTTTAGAATGGATAATTGTCGACCTGGATTAACATACCATACATAACTAGTTTTTACTTAACCAAAGGGTTGCTTAGGCACCACGCGGGTGTAAAGTTAGTATATTTATATAGGACATTTTTTTATATTAAAAAATAGTTTATTATAAAACTTACAGCCGATTTCTGAAATGAGAAAAGTACAAAATCTCAACTGATTATTTTCAATAACTTAATTTTTTTTACGTTTCACAAGTAAAAATGTTCTAGTTTTATGAAACAGCCATCAATTTATCATTAAAATAGATGGCTGTTTCATAAAAAATCTAAAAACAGAAACGAAAACCTATTTAAGTGACGTAATGAGAATTTAAAGTTAAAACCTATTTGACTTTAAATTCTCATTTCAGAAACCGGGTGAAAGTCTCCCTGCGATATCTGTATGGTTGACTAAATAAAAACTTGCTAAGGGCTACTAGGACTTGTAAGTAGAGGACTATTTATGTCACTAAACGGTTCCCTAGGGACAACGCGGGCGTAGCCCAGTAGTAAAATCTAGTACATATATAAATTAAGCTGACCTTGGTTAAATCCATTCCAATCTTGACCTGAGAGAGTAGATGCGTGACCACTGACCCGTGGTTCTCCATCGACCCGAGGTCGCTGTCCGACTCATCCTCGTAAAGGGCTGCGCGGAAGAAAGAAACGTATTGATATCCACTCCACAATATCCGATAAAGTAACCTTTAGGGTAGACGCACATCTATTATATAGGAAGGCTCTGAATAGGGTTGGACAATATTCGACAAAGTAACCTTTAGGGTAGACGCACATCTATTATATTGGAACGCGCTGAATAGGGTATGTGACAATTAACTAAACATTTGATCATGTTCACATTCACAGTTAACAAAATTCTCATCTTTATCGAAAGTTTCAATATTTGTAACAATATATCTTTCGGCTGTTTGGGTGGATGCCTGAACATTGGTGAGAATACGCTCTGTAGTAGTGAAAAAGTAACAAGTGCTTAAAAGATTCGTCAGTCTTGGGTAGCTCAGTGGTAAGAGCAGTCGCTCGGATTGACTGAAACGTCATGGGTTCGAATCCCATCGGGTGCCAGGGACCAAGTGGATTTTTTAAGCATTTTTCATTAAGAATTATTAAACATTTATTTTTTATTATTTTTAAATTTTCATATCCATCCGGCGCCAAAACAACCATACATTAATGTCAACCATATTATGACGTTTTAATAGAGATCGTGTGGTTTACACTTGGATCATGGGGTTTACATAATCGACACATGACATAAGTTTTGTGATTGACACTGGTAGAGTCATAGCTTACATGTTAATATGGCGTCACAGGCAAACAAAAATAAAAAAAAATATTTGTATTCATGCTGTTCTAAAATTGTCACCTTATTATGCAAAAAATACGTTTTTCAACTAAATAATTAAAAATTACTAATTCAAGAGTAATTAATGATTAATGATTTTCTTTAAGTTAATTTAAGTTTCATATTTTATATTGAACACTATAAATAACCTTATTCTTTGGCAATTTATTGCATAAATGCACGCGCCAAACCGTCAGAACTCTAACACCCATATTCACTAATCTAGAACGAGGCATAGTTCAACTAGGAAACGCCTAATATTAGGAATCGCCTAAACAGATTAGTTTAATTCCAAATCAAAATTTTTTCTTTTATCCCTTGACATATTTATGACTTGTCATATACGCAAATGCCTAGCGCAAGGCACCGCATAACGCATATCATAAATTTGGACATTGCTTTATTTGGTTAGGTGGTTCCTAGTCAATGGTGAAATACATTTTTACCTTAGGCGATTCCTAAATATTTAGGTGACAGATTCGGGCGACTCCTAAGTACATAGAACCGGGCATTAGTCTTCTTCGGCTCTGATAGACACGAGGAAACCATTAATCGAAAACAATTTCGACACTTTCGTTTTCTATTCCTCAGTTTATTTTAGTGAAGAGATTTTCGTAATAAATTATCAATCCCTTTTTCGGTCCGATAAACACGTCCATACATCGCGAACTTTTGCAACATTCTTTAATTATATAATAAAGACCAAGAATGCGAGTCACATCTCAAAGTTCCCACGAGATCATGCCAGCTTAATAATTTATTTTGGATCAATTCTACCCCTTAAAGTTTTTATGAGTGTATGTCTAAGTCATTATTAATTTGTTACAATTTAATAATCGACAGATCATCAGTTCATAAGCTACTATAAAGATTTAATAATATGTGTATGCTAATACCCGGAGCGTGACTTGGGAAAATATATGACCAGAGACAGACGTGACTGGCATAGGGCGGCAGGATATACGGCAGGGCTGTCACACTTGAACTTATACAAACGTCGGCTGTTCTGGTTGGGTCTTCTGAATTGATATCGGAATATACGTGCATTAGTTTTATAAAACTGTATGCATGAGAATAAATATTTATCACTAGTGGCCGCCAGCGACTGCGTCCGCGTTTTCCATTATTTCTTCGCTCCTAATAGTTGCAGCGTGATGTTATATAAAGCCTTCCTCGATAAATGGTCTATTCAACACAAAAAGAATTTTTCAATCCGAACCAGTAGTTCCTGAGATTAGCGCATTCAAACAAACAAACTCTTCAGCTTTATAATATTAGTATAGATTACGATATAAACTTACGAGTGACATTAATATCTATTATGATTAATTTAGTCGCATGTGATATATTTAATACATTTTATTGCACAACAAAAAAAATGACATGAATATACATAAATATTTTATATAACTGACACACTAGCTAGGTGGTCTTATCGCTAGCTAGAAATTTCTTCCATGCATTGCATAAATAGCGTATCATGCATACAACTAGACGGAAAGAAAACAATTCAGTGTTATGAATGGTTAATTTCCTGAACATTGAAGAGAATACACTCACTAGTAGAAATTCGTTAATTTCGTTAGGTTTCGGGTAGCGCAATTTGTTAGAGCAATCACCCGGATTGCAAAACGTTATTGATTCAAATAAAATCAAAACCATTCAATCAATCTAGGCTGCTACAATCATTTGTGATAGTCGAGACCAAGCCATCGGTTCGTAAATCTACGGCGGCAGACCTTGTATCGAGAATAATCGGCAAATAACTCAGCAAGGGCTGCTTTTTTTCTCCCTGTTTTATTTCAAACAGAGATGTCAATATTAGAATATCCCATATCGAGCACATGGGACTCAAATAAAAACTAATATGATTACCAATTTATTATTTTCCTAGTATAAAAAGACAATTAGCTTTTAAATTTAACATTTAAGGGTAAATATAAATGAGTGACTGATTGAATATCTGGTAAGCATCTCACAGAAGCAAAACTTGTACTTTCATGAGGCAAGTGAGCACTAAGAAAGAATTTTTAGAAATTCAACCCCTAAGGAGGTGAAATAAACTTATCAGTTAACTTGACAGTTTTGACGTTTCGTGACTGAAAATTACGCGATCTTCTGCAGATATGCACATAACCTAATTGTATTTTATAAATCATGAAGAAATATACATCTTATATTAAATCCATCGTAGTTTAAATACCTTAGCTTTGTCGTGACTGTTAGGGAATACGACGACTTTTTCTGACGACACTTTTGTGGGGGGGGAGGGGATACTCTTATGAGGATATTTTATCGAAATGCTATCAAATGATAATAAAAAAAAACTACAATAACAACCAAAACCTATTTAAGTGACGTAGTGACGTTTGAGTACAGTTTGAGACACTTAACTTTAAATTATCAATCCAGAAACCGGATGAGTATCAATTTTTTTTAAGCCCGTTCAAGTTGTTTTACAAAAAAAATGAATTCATTCTAAGTAATTATATTAGATTACAATGATTTTGAGTCCTTCTACCAAGCGAAAGCAAAAACTAAGTTAAATCCGTATTCGGATAAAAGGTCCAGTTAAAAAGCTAATCTGGGCTGTAGCACATTTGGTCCCCTCATAAAATATGTAACACGTTCGCTCCGATTCGTTCATTTTTCTGACGTAATTTTGTTATAAAAAGTTTAAAACGTGAAGCATGTTTGATATTATCCAGATATTTAAGTTCTATTTGTGTGAACTATATCAGCCTTATTATAAATTGAGGACTAAAGTTACTAAACCACCTGACATTTTATATTCTGATTTACATGTGCAGGTATTAGGACTCGTATAGGCACCGTTAGGGCAATACAGAGCACACGTTTTCTTGTTTGAAATTTTATAGCCTTATTTATATGTGTTGGTATTGGGACTCGTACGGGCATCATTAGGACAACCACTTGGGAAAAACGGATCACCTGATTTACATATGCATGTATTTAGTTAAACCACCTAAAGCAAATTGATACAGAGAAAAGAAATCGTGTTGATTTTGGGTGAATAATCATGTTTTAAAACTGGTACTAAAGTTAGTTCCCATTTCCTAATGAAGTGGTATATATTTATACATCTCTTTTATATGATACACAAGAAGACACCAGGTTTATTACAAAAGATTTTTAACTAATTTTTAAATTTAATGTCAACATAATAAAATATATATATTTTGTCCTTGTTTAGTAACATGACGTGACGTCGACTGTACAAGTCGGAATTGCCGCAGTTATATTAATTATGATTTGGAAAGAAAAAGTTTTTAAGATACCCGTGCCCGTTTCCATTAAATCTAAAACAAAGTGCAGCTTAACAAGGAGTTGCGTTATCTTACGAACATTTTTTTATACCTTGACACATCTGTGATCTGTCATATTGTGTACGTTGTGTCTAAGGCGATGCACCTCGTAACGTATGTCATAACATAACTTAGTATTGTTAAGTGGCTACTAGTCACTGGTGAAATTAATTTCCACTTTAGGCGTTTCCTAAACATTTAGGAGTCACATTTGTACTTTATAATTTAGTGAGAGCGTATATTAGAGACATACCGTCATAGTCTATCTCTCCGTCTCGCGTACGCGGCAGGTCGACGGTGGGCTGCGCCGAATCCTGCTCGGCCGCGCCTTCCGTCGGGCACGTGCGGCTTGCGCTGTAACAAAAATAAACATAACATTTTTATTCTTCATTTTTTTCTTGGTTTAAAATTTTTTGTCGTAGATGATGGAGCTATTTGTGAAGTAACATTAATCTTCGTGAGAGCAAGTTGGTATGCTTTGGTTAATAATTACTGAGACGACGAGGCTCCCCACCGAGTGCGTCGAGGTGCAACTGTGACGACAAGACCGCCTTTCAATACACGGATTGGAGCTCCACTCTCGCCAACATCGGGTTGAAAACGAGAGAGTGGACTCTGACTTGTGAAGAGAAAAGAAATATGCATTTATTGCCTTATAGAAAATTAGATGCATCGGTTATTTTGTAGTCGTTTGATTTTTGAGCAAATAACTTGCTATTACGATAGCTTAATATTAAATAAGCAATTATGTTACAATTGTTTATACTTATGATTTTGATTTTGGTTGAATAGTGGTTTAAACCCGGTACTAAAGATTGTCCTCGTTTTATAATAAGACGGTATGGGTTTAGCAACAAGAAACGAAACTCAATTTTTCATTTGAACTAAACATACATTTAATCCCTAGAGTAAATTTATTCCATTTTATCTTTAACCCCTATTTAGTCCTTGGAAAGATACCTATGCATCGTCCGTAACCTTAATCTAATCTTTACCCGCCGAAAAAATAACGTTTTGTCATTTGAATAAGGCATAAAGAGATTTTAGCAAGATAGCAGTGGCTATCAGGCGTAGCCTAGATTTAAGGCAGCTATTCATATAACATAACTGCAATTGTACTTTATATCTGGAGCATTCCAGTCATAAAAACACATCTAGTGACTATTTTATTAATTGTAGCGACAATATAAGCATATATAAAAACGGTCTCAGTTTGTCAACTGGGACCGTTTTTCGGCACGAAATCCTAAAAACACGCATGCATGGAAATTTAGTACTAGTTTTCGTTAGTTTTGTCTAAACGTGCTGATTATATGGATTAATATGAATTCTGGCCAAGGTTGTATTTATAGCACTACTGTGGATATCCCGGTGATATACGTTAATTAGGCACGCAAATGCGCAATATACGAGACTGTTAAATTTCTTCCACTTCATTTTAAACCTTAATACGTTATAGATAAAGTTCAAAATGAGTCTTGAAAATACGTATTCTTGTAGTTTAAAGTGAAGCCGTGTGTACTTTTTAACTAAACTAAAAAAATAAATTTTCATTTGGGTTTCTTTAACTAACCCTTAAAGTCTAGTTTGTGCAACAGATGTACTGGAACCATTTTTTAATGAAATAAAAATATAAAGCCACGTGGTTACAAATATGTTGCCTTTGGATATTAGCCTAGGATATGTAGACGTCGATTAATAGACGCGATCTATTGATTGACGTCTGACGACGACATTCGACATTGACTTGTTCACAGCAGACCGATTAACGCAGGGCTGTACTTAACGTTGTGTATTTTTCAGCTTGATAGCTTTATCGTTAAAGTAACACTTAAAACACAAACATCCAGAACAAACACAAAGTGACATCCGAACCTACAGGTAGGTTCTAATTACATTAATATTCGTTTGACGTTGTTCCTTTACTTGTGGCCTGTCCACGGTTGGATCGATTGCCGAAGAGTTTTATTTTATCTCAACATTAATAAGATCGTAATGATTGCGACTCTAATACTATCTATTTAAGTGCCATGTTTGAAGTGTAAAACTGCCTGCGAGATATTTAAACCACTCTGCTTTATCCACTGCAATTGAATAGGGACAAAGAATCCTTTTAAGGCTCCACGTTTTAAGAGCAGAAAATTTTATGCAACCAATGAAATTTCAGTTATATGGATATGTAAGATGATAACACCATAGAAATTATTAATAGTTTTTAAAACATCAACATCTTAGTACTATTTCAGACTATAATACTACAACAGGCGATATGCCGCAGGGAGGAATTAATTATATTTACATTTGTATATAATAATTATAAAACTAAATTATGAATTTATTATTTTACTTTTTTCACTAATGTGGTGGGATTCGAGCAGAGACATCTGTTGTTGTCACTTCCGAGTCACGGATACGAATCACGATTTAAGAACGAATTATGTATTAATAAGTGAGTATATTTATATTTTCCAAATGATGAGTTGTGTTAATCTCTCTTTTTAATTATATAAACATTTACTCTCGTTGTACTTTTTATTTCTTTTTTTAAGTAATGGAGTCCGCATCCCTATATAAAGCGAAGCTTACTGTCGAGTGCGACCCTGTAGTTAATAATAGTCAAGAAGGTTTGTGAATCACCAGTTGGTGTTTAGGGGTTGTCACCTGACCTTGTACTTGGTGACAATTTAAAGTAGATTGGTATATGTAAATTTTGCAGATGTTTAAAATTTCAAATACATAATTGTTGGATGGTGTGTGTGAGAAATGTCAGTTGTAAACTGAAGGTCAAGGTTTATATATTAATAAATGATTATGATTACTGTTGTATTGGCCTCAAGCTACTTGTTTTAATGTGTTGTCCTTCGTTTAAATTTTTTGGGCAAAGTGAGAATTAGAGTAAAATATCAGGATTGCATCGTCAAATGCGGGACATTACATTAAAAAAAAAGAAATACCAATTGGCAATGAGTAGAAGTAGATCAATTATGGCTTGGTAACAAGATACAATTTCAAAAATATTTCTATAAGGTACTTCTTATATTTTTTTCAAATGAAAACAGATTATATCCTTCGGAAAATGTTAGATTTTGGGTTATAAATCAATACTTGTTTTCCCGCGACTTCGTGAAATAGGCTACTCTATGTCATCCACGGATGGTATCGCTTCCCGTAGATGAAAGAATTTTGAAATCGGTCTAGTGGTTTCGGAACCTATTCAATGCAAACAAACAATCTTTCCTCTATATATTATTAGTATAGAAGATGTCTCGATTTGTAACCCCAATTTGAATTAGGTCTGGCGTATGAAAATCGTTTATTTGAAAATCATATTGACTATTTCCAACGTAGTACCTTCAAGGTTGTAAGCTCGCATAAAATAATAAATAAATATAATGGGACAATGTAATAAAAATGTAATAATGTAAATTTAAGACATGCTCGGATACGTTGGCATCGAATGCAACGGAAAATCGAACTTAGACCCAGTTCAGACATGCAGCGTGCAGATGAAGCAAATCGAGCAGGGTAATATTGAAACATGAAACTTTAGAGCTCGAAGTTCAGTAAATAACAGTATATCCATATAAGTATGAGAATATACCATTTGCGTCCATCATGAGCCATGGGGTAACACATTCAGGGTCGCCGTTACCGGACCTTGATACTTCAAACGAAACGAGTATTGATTTATCATTTAGCAGGCGCTACACTTGTTTCTAAGTAATTTTCAAATATGGCGCACAGTGAACGATCAGCTGATGTGACCTACCGCGTCAGGTGATAGAAGTCTCTCTTCTTTATGTGTATTTACCGAGTCTCATATCTCAGCAAAAACATATAAAGTGTTTTGTTTTCGTTCTATTTTGCTAGACTATGACGTAGTGGAATAGTTACTCCTAATTAATGAAGGCATTTTGAATAACATCTACTATCTCCTGTTGATTATAACAGCCTAGAACTCTGATTTGCCGGGTTGAGATGCATATTCATACTATTGCAAGACCAATATACATTCTACGGGCACAAACGAGTATTATACGTATTATATATAGCAGGCGGATGATCTGTAGTGGGCACAGTGTAATAGAAAAATCCATTAGACTCCAAAATAAAATTGGCATTTGTATGCATCGAATTTAGGTACCAATATTTATATTCAATGGGCAAACTTTATTTAGTATCTACGCTACGCCATTTTCATCGGTGAATATTGGCAACCCTGCAAAAAACAAGTCTCTTTAACGTAGGCGAGCCGGGAAACGAGCCAAGTAAAGAAACAGATTTGTTTTACATAAAAATCGTCTGGCCACTTCTAATCATATTTCGTCGTTGAAATATATTAATGAGAGAAAGTTAATATAACACTACAACAGATAATGTGAGACAGTGATTATTTCGTTATTTTTGTTTTTATAATACTTCGATAAAACGCAATTTTTTGCTTTCTATAACCAGAACTGGCCTTGAGCCAAGTGAAAAAAAATTGACTATCACTTTTTTTTCCACTGCATTGCTTCCCTTTTACTTTTCCCATCGTTATGAACTGAAGAAACTGGAATCCCTTAGGCTTTAACCATAGGCCCAGTTAACACTTTTTCTTTTGCTTAATCGTTAAGGGTGCTCCACTCTCTTTCTTTTTAATTGGTAACTTTTTGATTTCAAATAGTTTTGTCAATAAACAATTTTATTATAATATAAAGTCTATTAAATTATTTGTATTATATATCATTAGCATTGTATAGTAAATATAGAGACGACTATGTCCGTGTGTATAGATAAGTAGAAACAACCTCCCAAAACTGATCATAAAATTTGTTGATAACTAATGTGTTAATAACGTGCCTTTGTTAAAAAAGCAACAATCGATCGTATCCAAATTCATAAATCTTTGCTAGGAAATAGGGAATTCCTATTAGTTACTAAAATAAATTAAATATGTAATTACTTAAATTAACCCAAGCCAAAGTAAAATCATAAAAACACTTTTCGCGACTTTGCATGGGTAAATTATAGTCTGTCTTTACCGCGTATGACGTAGTTTCTGATATGTGAAAGAATTTTGAAAATTGGATCCAATTCAATATGAAATAATAAAAACTTTCCTTTTTATAACATTAGTATAGATAACAAAATGTGGACCTATATAATTAAGGCATTAAGCTTTATGTAGTATATACATTCTTTTAATGTTATCAATTCAAATAAAGAGAATTTTAAAGCAATTTGTAATTGTAGATAAACAAATAAAATCGACAAAATAGAATATTAATCGACAAAATAGCGCCACTTTCTAATAGCGTAAAATAGTCTTTAACACAAATAATAAAACTTTCAAAATTTTAAAACATGCGCAA